GACATTACAAGTCCAAGCATCAACTTCTGATCTTAGTTTTCTCTTCACTTTCTCACAAATAATAATAATAATCCTGGCTCCCAAGTATGGAAGAAACAATACTGACAGTAGGAGAGAAAACCATCCCAAAGGAAGTAGAATTTTCTTAACATCAATTCCATTATTCATCATGGCTCACATGCAAGCAATTAATGGAAGTGATCAGATTGACAGCAAGATGAAATACACCATCATGTAAGAAGTAATATTTTATTCATTGTACTATGAATTCCACCATTAATCACAGCTCCAAAGTTTGGATCTAGTAATAGCAAGAAGACAAAGACAAAACTGTATGAAGTAAAATTTGACATGATAAAAGGAAATGAGAAAACACGAGACTCTAAAGGACATCAGCAGGGTTGTAAGATATTGCTGGGGTACAGTATCAATGATCATCCACAGTCAAGCAAGAAATACTACACATGTGAGAAAGCTGCACTTGTGCAGGATATCATCATCTAGGTCATCTAAGAAGTCTAGGTTCATTCTTATTGAGATGGAAAGCTTTTAAATACAGTGTTCTCCAGTTAGCTAACACTGCCATAGGTCTGCCAAAGACATCATACTTTATCTTAGAAAGGTCTGCCATATATCTCATACTTTATCATAGAAAGGTCTGCCATAGATCTCGTACTTTATCATAGAAAGGTCTGCCATAGATCTCATACTTTATCATAGAAAGGTCTGCCATAGATCTCATACTTTATCATAGAAAGGTCTGCCATAGATCTCATACTTTATCACAGAAAGGTTTGCCATAGATCTCATACTTTATCATAGAAAGGTCTCCCATAGATCTCATACTTTATCATAGAAAGGTCTCCCATAGATCTCATACTTTATCATAGAAAGGTCTGCCATAGATCTTACGTTATAGAAAGGTCTGCCATAGATCTCATACTTTATTATAGAAAGGTCTGCCATAGATCTCATACGTTATCATAGAAAGGTCTGCCATAGACATCAAAGGTTATCATAGAAAGGTCTGCCACAGATCTCCTACTTTATCATAGAAAGGTCTGCCATAGATCTCATACTTTATCATAGAAAGGTCTGCCATAGATCTCATACGTTATCATTGAAAGGTCTGCCATAGATCTTGTACTTTATCATAGAAAGGTCTCCCATAGATCTCATGCTTTATAATAGATATGTTTTCCATAGATCTTACGTTATAGAAAGGTATGCCATAGATCTCATACTTTATCATAGAAAGGTCTGCCATAGATCTCATACTTTATCATAGAAAGGTCTGCCATAGATCTTACATTATAGAAAGGTATGCCATAGATCTCATACTTTATCATAGAAAGGTATGTCAGATCTCATACGTTATCATAGAAAGGTCTGCCATAGATCTAATACGTTATCATAGAAAGGTCTGCCATAGATCTCGTACTTTATCATAGAAAGGTCTCCCATAGATCTCACACTTTATCATAGAAAGGTCTGCCATAGATCTTACTTTATAGAAAGGTATGCCATAGATCTCATACTTTATCATAGAAAGGTCTGCCATAGATCTTATACGTTATCATAGAAAGGTCTGCCATAGATCTCATACGTTATCATAGAAAGGTCTGCCATAGACATCAAACGTTATCATAGAAAGGTCTGCCATAGATCTCCTACTTTATCATAGGAAGGTCTGCCATATATCTCATACTTTATCATAGAAAGGTCTGCCATATATCTCATACTTTATCATAGAAAGGTCTGCCATAGATCTCATACGTTATCATAGAAAGGTCTGCCATAGATCTCAAACGTTATCATAGAAAGGTCTGCCATAGATCTCATACTTTATCACAGAAAGGTTTGCCATAGATCTCATACTTTATCATAGAAAGGTCTCCCATATATCTCATACTTTATCATAGAAAGGTTTCCCATATATCCCATACTCTATCATAGAAAGGTCTGCCACAAATATCATACGTTATCATAAAAAGGATTGCATTCTATAGTTGGGGGTATCACGGATCCCATAAATGAGAAACACTATTCTACAGATAGCCAAAGGATCAGATTGGGCTGTATATTTTCAATAATATAGGTTTTATGCAGGAAAAGAACATAAGATTTTTCAGAAATTTAAAATCTAATGCTGAAAAGGAAAGTGAGCATCATGATGAAGAATTTAATGCTAACAAGAGCTAATTTCATCGCTTCTAAGCACAGGAAATCTGAGTGCAAGGAGAAGCTGCAAGTGCCAGGTAGTAGTATCTGTCAAAGGTGTGTATCTACAGATTTATAATTGTAATATATCCACTAAAAGAAAAATGACCTTGACTCCCAGGTCGACACAGCCTTAATTGGGTACCAGGTGCAATCCAGGGAAGTAAAGGCAGCCGGCATGATGATGACCACATCATCCACCAAGTGCCGATTGGTTTATAAAATACAGGTCTAGCCCTATATTCACTATAAGCCTAAAGGCGTGGAAATGGGACCTTTGCTTTATTCACTAAAAATTGTTAGCAAAAATGAATGTTTTTATGATTTAATTTCAGAATAGCTAATATATGTATATAATAAATATTAGTGTAAGAATAACTACTACATACCTCTAGAGAGAAATGGGAACAAAAATGGGGGGGGGGGTGTTCACCATAACGTGAAGACTTCTTGCATGGATAAACTTTTTGGCAAACAAAAAGAATCAAGTCTCAACACTAATTGTTGTTTTCTTTGATTTAATATTTAAAGTATAGCATAAAATATTTCAGTAAAAAGTATAAATTATCCATATTTTTGTTATATTATCATTATTATTATTCATTTCATGCATTACTGGACACATATAAACATAGTCTGCCAACTAATCCCAAATATTCAGGCCCTGTGAGGCAACAGTTTGCCAACCCCTGCTCTAAAGCCTTCTTGGTTCAGTAACAATCAAGACCACACCTCTAATACGATGACTACTACTGCCAAAACAGTCTGCTGTACAGGACACTACAACAGTGTTCTGACTGATATGTGATTAATCAACTGTCCAAGCTTGCCCACTTTTCCTCATTAAAACATTGAACTTGAGGGGGATACGTGACACCACAGCAGACTACCCTGTCACCTTTCCCCCACCAAGCTCACACAATAGCCACAAATACAGTACATATGACTAGATCACTTCTGTTGTTTTTTGTATTAGGGATCGTTTTAAAAAAAACTATTTAATAACACAAAACGAAACACAAACTCTTTAAAGAAATACAAAGATATTTAATTTCTAGTTAGCAGAGAGGGAGGGAGGGAGAGAGAGAGAGAGAGAGAGAGAGAGAGAGAGAGAGAGAGAGTGAGGGAGGGGGGGGAGAAGAATGAAAAAAAAGAAAGAGTGAAGAGAAGAGAGAGAAAGCAAGGAACAGGGGACTTGTTTGAGAGCGTGTATGTGAGTGTGCTAATAGAAGTAAGCTTTTGTTGGATCTGTATTAATGAGATTTGTTGACAATGTTAGAAACAACATAAAGAAAAACAATTATGCGCCCCCAGACTATTCAAAACAGAATTAATGGTACACACCCAACCCCTTCCCTTGATTCCATCTGGGTTCAGAGGTAAAAGTTTGGAGGCGTGGGGGGAGAGGAGACAGACTTCTCCCTATCAAGCATGTCATGAAATGCAACTATTTAGAGGTTTGGTAAAATCTGATGTAAAAGTGTAGATATCACAGCTTAGCTGTAAACCACTACACAATATCCCAATCACCTTTTAAGAGGGAATAAAGAAGAAGAAGAAAGGTACTGTTAGTGTGTAAAAGAACTATGTGAATATATGAAGTTGCTGCTGATGATACTGTGGCTAAAGATTCCAGACATCTTTCAGTGCCACATATTTGTATATTTGTGAAGGTTATCACCCTCATCCTGTGCTGTGCAGGTTTCATGTTTCTCCACATAAATTAGTCCTGTCTTCTGAATTAGTTCTACTGATAATATTTCTTCATGTCATCTTCTAGAGTCTTCTCTCTCTCTCTCTCTCTTGTACCACTGATTGTTCATCATCACAAGGTTCTCATCGTATGGATAAAGAACTGTTACCTTTTTACTGTTGTGAATAATATTGTACGTTCAAGAGACTACACACAAAGACAGAAGTTATACAGAGACTATGAATGAAAAGAGTTGCCAAGGGAAAAACATTAGAGACCAGTAAACAAAAGAAAGGGACAGAATGAAAACAGAAAAAATAGAATTATACAGACAGACTGACAGACAGGATAATATCAGACAGACAACCATACACATACAGAGAGACATGTAGAACGAAAGAACTGTATGTATGTATGTATGTATGTATGTATGTATGTATGTATGTATGTATGTATGTATGTATGTATGTATGTGTGTGAGATAGATATATATATATATATATATATATATATATATATATATATATATATATATATATATATATATATATATATATATATATATATATATATCTGTGTGTGCGTGCGTGTGTCTGTGTGCATGCCGGTAAATGTGTATGTATGTATAAAACAGGAAGACCCCAACACCCCCCCCCCCCCTCCCCACCCCACCCAAATAAAAAACCTATCAGGAAATCATTTTACAGCACTTCTCAATTCCATGTCCTATAAGCTAAACAATGTCAGCAAAAATACAGACAAAACTCAGTCATTTCTCAGAACAACTAACTCCAGTTCTCCAAACACAAAATGTACATTTTAAAATTATGAAAAGTACAAGACAACTGGAAGTTATCACAAAAAAGCACAAAATATTATTCTTGTGGAACTGTTTTCCCAGCCCAAAGTAGTTCATATGTAAGCAGAAATGAAACAAATGAACATCCACAGCTCTTAAATGTACAGACAAATTCATAAACATGTTGCATTAAGGAAATTGACACCAGAAAGTCAACAATAAAAATCACAATGTAGCAATAATGCTTAGACTACCCATAAATAAAGTTGACTGTAATCCTAGTTATTATCAGTCGATGCCAAAAGTACTGGTCTCTTCCACAGCCATGACCAACTTTTCAAACAGCATTTCAAAGGAAGTATAAGGAGGCAGGTCCAGCCTATTGAAGCAAGTGTGTGCCCTGGAGAAGAGAAGTGGCGTTAGCTGTAGCTAGTGCACAAAACATGGCAGGTTTTAACCTGTCAGTGGATTCTGGGGTCCCATTGTGGGGAAAACAAGACCAGATCAACTACCTCCCTAATTATCGTGTCGTAAGAGTCAACTAATTGGGGACTTCCTTCAAAGTCGGAGTGCATCTGCCTAAGTGGCAAGGAACAAACAGTCTGCATACAAATAAGCCAGATCTGCAAAACAGATGCACACGCAAAACTCAGGCCCTAGAACAAGACCAGAAATGGACAAACAATCAGGTCTTTCTGCCAGGGTTTACAGCGGATGAACGCAAACAAACAACCTAAATCTCAACAACTGACTTCTGCAAGCCTGACCTCATTTTTTTGTTTACACATTTCAGCTGGTTCTGACTCCCTCGTCGCAATGTCTCTGAAATGCAGCACATTCAATATGTCCGCTCTGTCCATAATTGTTCCTCCACTAACCACTACAGACGTGGCCAGTTTGTCAGCTCTTCTATTTCTGTCCTGGTGTGTACAGCCAAGAAAGATTCCACAGCTGATAACCAGTACCACAGAATATCTGACAAATATGCAATTATCAACCAAACGACACAGTCTAAAAAAGAACCAGCAACCCTCACAGCACTGGGCAAACTGCTCAACCACATCACAATGAAGACTCACACAAGAAATACAAGACAGGTCTATCATGTAATCAGTACCACACACAAGAGTCAACTGTTTACCTTGGGAGGCTAGTTGTCTTCCCCCACTTCTCTATACAAAATTTGCGTGGTCCGTTGCTACCCCTGAGAGCAGAGAAACCTTCGTATGGAATGCTTGATGATCCTGTCACAAACTGAAAGAGATAATATTACTAATAATGATGTATACAATCTACAAGAACATTTTTACAGAATTAAGAATTCTCAATCCTGAATAATCTAAAAGCTTTCACATATCAAATCAGTACAAGAAATGACACAAATTGTCACTAAATTATTAAAGAATTAGGAAGTCGCATATAAACTAATTGTGTGCAAGTGTCCAAGCACAATAATAATATCTACAAGCTACCAGTATACAGAATTTAGACATCTCAGCCTTGAAAAATCTAAATACATATAAGAATCAAAGTACTATAATAATTTACACAGGTTATCATCACCCATCACACAATTAAGACATCTCCATCATCTAGAATGAGTTCAATGCATTGAAGCATCAAAATACTGGCTGCATTCACAGACCACACAATAAACATGGACCAGCTTGAGGATAAATTAGAAAAATAAATTACAAATGGAAGATTTAAATAAGACATTTTTAAACAGGAATTGAAACCAACTGAGTACTGCTATACCTTTTCCCATTTTTCACAAATGCATGCAAAAGTCTGACGTGCCAGCAGAAAGGCATACATATTGCAGCCATGATGTTAACAGCCATAATGTAATGCAGTTACATCTTTAGGTGAACAAAGAAGAAGATTTCCCATTTATGAGCTAGGGATGTGTCTATGAAGACTCAACCGAAAATGAACTGACAGCATAAAACTGTAATAAGTCACTGAATCTGTCCCCAACCTGTACTACGTTCAACAAAATTCACTGAAGTAACATAATTTAAGGATTAAAATAGCTGGGCATATGTATCTTCTATACATCAACAAGGTGTCACTAATTACCAGTTTCAACCGGTTATACACTCTAAATAACATTTTAAAGATGAGACGATCTACTTCACTGCATTGGCATTTTATCCTCCATGTCTCCCCAAGAAGGCTAACTATATCCGGAGTTGCAAAAAGCACAGACTTTACAGATCCAGCAACGATCCTCAGGGAATCTTCAAACCTTCAGAGCAAGAGGCAAATAGCACAACCATGTGGCCAATGATACTTTATACACAAATGAAATACAAACCTGGAGAAGTCTTAGCTGTCGTTCATTGTCAAACTTCTCGATTGCTTCCCAAAACCACTGGATCACTGCATGCTGGTCATGGTAGCCTGCACACAGAAAACATTTCAACTTGTTGACATTTCTGAAACCGTTTAACATTAGTCCTATCTGCAAACAGTTGAAGTTTTACTAACGAGTCGTCTTAGTAGAATGACGTTTACACAATTAAATCGGTGCTGTGCCGTGGGCACTACATACATGCTTTGTGATTTTATAATCTTCTTCTTCTTCAGCATTCCGAGCCCTTGATGTTCATTGCTGCAGATATCACCTGCCTCCATTCATCTCTCTGCTTGGCCTTCTCTTTTCAGTTAGTGACACCAAGTGTTTGCAGGTCTGTCTGAACGTTATCTCTCCATGGTCTTCTTGGTCTGTCTTGTAGTCTACGACCATTCCTCTCCCTCGTTATAAAGTTTTTTCTTCTCTATCATCTGACATTCTTTCAATACGCCCCAACCATTTCAGTCTATTAGCTCTCACAATGCCAGTGATCAGTGGTGATTTAAACATATTATGAATTTTGTTGTTACTTCTCACTCTCCATTCACTGCTGTTTGCATCTTTAATAGGTTCATTTTATAATACCTGGCCTAATTCCATCTGCAGGTGATTTGGCAGCAGACTATTTTGCACCGATTCCGACAATGATATGGATTGCTTTGCCGACTGGCATGGGCGATCATGCCTTTCCACAATCTGCGAACTGCAGCTGCGTGTATCAACTGTAAAGGCTACGTAACTGTCTGTCTATCTCTCTGTGTGTGTGTAGGTGGATGTGTGTGTGTGCATGCATGTGTGTGGGCACGCATGATTTATTCATATCTTGTTTAAAATTTCTAATACTGCTATTATTTTTATTTTTTTTAAACTTTCTGTAAACTTTATATTTATTCTTTTATATACCTAACTATAGCAATTTTGACAACTTCCTGTAAAAGCTTCACATTTTAAAAAAATTGTATACCTAAAATCTGGAGCCGTGGTAATGCAGTGGCTAGATGCTTGCCTGTTGATCTGAAGGTGCAGGATTTGAGTATGCATCAAATAAGGTTTTGAAATAATTGACTTTGGCACCCAAACTGACCCAATTAAAATAATGCACCAGGAAGTGTCATGAAAGTAAAGGCAGCTGGCATGATACTGCCCATATCACCTATTGAGTGATGATTATATGGGTCTAGATCGATGCAAAAATGGTGTAAAAAAGGTCCCCCCCCCCCCCCTTTTTAACCTGAAATCATGAAAATTTCTAGGACATTAATAGTTACCGATATTTTCATGTATTTCAACTTTCTGCCTTTTTTTTTCAAAAAGTGCTTTCCTCTCAAACAGAGAACTGATTATAATAATACAGAGTTATGACAGAAGACATCAAAGGTGAACTCTGACCTGATCTGTAGTCTGTGTTTCTTCGCCAGTCAGTAATATCAATCTCCACTGTACCAGCGATTACCAGTTCTAGTTCACGAGCATCAAACGTCGACACAAGTCGTCCGTCCAAAACCTACAGTGAAATTATCCCCATTAAGTGTTATTTTTAATTAAAATATAAATCACCTTATAGACAGTTCATGTTTATCATGTTGGTAATCACATCTGCCCCCTGAATTTCTGAAAAAGTTCTCCACAAGATGCCAAATTGTCTAACATCTTCTCTTTTGGTATTCCTTTACCTCTCATTCCCTTTCAACTTTCCTATTATCACGACAGATTCTAGTTTCTTCCTTCTCGCGTGTGATCTAAGAATATGGATAGCCGATTTCTGATGCAGATAATAATTTATTTTTGTGAGGTAATTTCTCTCAAGACATCGTCTGAAGATATTCATATTATATTCTGAGTTTACTGTTCAATGTTCTTGCAATTACAATATGATAACCTCAAAAGAAAAGATATTTCAAGTAACTGATGATAAAAGTAATGCTCTGTATGATTATTTTATATTAAGACATTACTTTATAATCAAGAAGATAAACAGAAGAATATTCTCGATCCACACAGATGGGTCTATTGCAAGAGGATACAAGCGGCATGGGCATTCACAGCTCCAAGTGAAGACACACTAGTCCAGGAAGCTAGAGGTGCCTTCTCTTTGATTATAGCAACATCAGGATGGAGGTAACTGCAGCGATAAATGCCTTCATGTGGCTGGAAGCACAGGACTTTTCCAACAAGTGTGTGTGCTGAGTGATTCTATCATCATAATCCAGTGGGTTGAGGCAGGCTCTGTATATGGACAGTGGACTAAGTCCTTGTGAAACTCCACTGTGCATGTAGTTACCTTCATCTTCGTCCCAGGGAACAAGGGTGTTTGTAATGAAAGAGCTGATAGACTGGCTGGTTCTTTTTTAGTTGCAGATGGCCGGCCTAGGATCACACCCACACTGTTAATTATTGCCCTTGTAGAGACAGAACTATCAGAGGATTTTGGAAGCAGCATGTTCATCACTGCTAAGAATGGGAGAATTAGGAGTAAAGATTGGCACGGCTAGGCATACAAGAAATCTTGTTAACCAGCTCAGGACTGGTACTATAAACAACGAGACGCTGTTGTACATGTTGAAGGGGGAAGCTGAGTCCAGAGTGCCGTGAAGAAACCCAACTCATAACTAAGTTGAATATTCTCAGAATAAATTTATCAACACATCAAGGAAGAAACAAAAGAACAGTCTCTAGAATAATAATTCCAAACATCAGTGATAATTTCTTCTTCTTCTGTGTTTGGCCTTCAAAGGCTGTCTGGCGCAATATGTTGTGATTTACATCTAGACTGCAGATCTACAGATTAAGCTGCTATTTTGCTTCACTTTTTCTAAAAATATACAGGAACACTTTTAGGCACAATTAATCTAAATTACCCCATCTAATTTCTAAAACAACTGACAATTACAAATTTTAAAACTAACCAACATTTAAGTGGAAAATATGAAATATTTCTACACCATTTACAACAAACATAACTCAATAAAACAACCCATTAAAAAAAAACCAGACCACAACTGTCAACAAACCTCGTGAAACCCACGAATAAGGCTCTCTGTCTGTTCTGTGACTCCTCGCTCTAGCCGCCACTTCACCATCTTCTCAATGTACTCTTTCTTATTCCGTTCTGTTACCGAAATATTTTTCCCATTTGGTTTCAATTCACGTTCTGTAACCTGTTAACACATTTTGTAGAGATTAATTGGATTTCACACATCATCCATAGACAAAAGTCACTTACAACTTATTGTAGGCTTAAATGGTTAATGGTTCAACACAGACAATCTTAATTAGTCATCAAATACCTGCATTGGATTGGACTCCCACCCATTGTTTAGGTCATGTCTGAGGACTCTGAAGGGGTGGAAGGGGCGGAATGTCTCCATGGCAAAGTGATTAGGCATTAAGTGATGCTCTCTGTCCATTGGTAAATTAGTGAAGGTGTTGAGGAGATCCCCATGTATCATTGCTGAAGTGAGAGTATGTGTTCTGTAGTCTCATGGTGGGTGAGCATCCTCTCTCCTGAGAGGGCCCAAACCATCTGGGATGAAACCTGGCCCAATGAATTTGATCACCTCATCCTTTAACCACCCCTCACCCCCCCCCCCCCTTTTTTTTTTAATACCTCTAAAAAAAGACTGAACACCTATTTTAGTTCACAATCTTCATGCACTTCACCTATTTATTTCATCTTAACAAGGGCTATAAAATAAGATCAGTAATCAAGGTGTCTAACTTCATAGCTAATTAGTCTCTACTTGGCCTCAGGGTTAGCACATATGTAAAACATATGCTTATAGGATTACCAGATATGCTTATCATCAGGAAATATTGGGCATTAAAAGAACACTGAATGAAAAATATGTGCACTTCTATCTATTTCCTGGTTACATTATTGGCCTTACATATGCTGGAGAAGGGATGGAAGGGTCTGCAACACGGTCTCTGCTAATACCAGGTCAAATAGAAAGTCACTACAACAGATAACAGCTGAGGTGAAGTAAGAACCAACTTCAAAACACTCAAGATGATAATGGGCACCATGCTGAGAAGGGAGACAGAGCTAATATGGGCTTTTCTTAATGTGACATCAAATCTCTGCCCAAATGAACCCAGATCACAGAGCTCATGGACATTCTCATAACCAATCTGTCCCCACCTTTAGTAGCCAGTGGAGAATTCCAGTTCCAATGGTACCAGTAGCAGTCTGGTTGTAAATCTGTCATGCCTTTCCCCTGAGTGTTGACTAGATTCCCTGGTCACTCCCCACTCTCTTCAGGTTGTGATCTTCTATTTGTGATTCTGCATTAACCACTCCTTTCCAAAATATCTAGTTTGCCAGGCAACAATTTACCACAATGTGGTGCAACAGCAGACAACACAGATGCCATTATGGCATGGCAATACCCCAACATTTGTGCAGATGTCCCTATGTCATGGCAATACCCCAACATTTGTGCAGATGTCCCTATGTCATGGCAATACCCCAACATTTGTGCAGATGTCCCTATGTCATGGCAATACCCCAACATTTGTGCAGATGTCCCTATGTCATGGCAATACCCCAACATTTGTGCAGATGTCCCTATGTCATGGCAATACCCCAACATTTGTGCAGATGTCCCTATGTCATGGCAATACCCCAACATTTGTGCAGATGTCCTTATGTCATGGCAATACCCCAACATTTGTGCAGATGTCCCTATGTCATGGCAATACCCCAACATTTGTGCAGATGTCCCTATGTCATGGCAATACCCCAACATTTGTGCAGATGTCCCCATGCCTTGGCAATACCACAACATTTGTATTTCTATTTAAACAATTAACTATGCCTATATAAACGAAGCGGTGTCCGTGGCTTAGGTGTTGCGAGTCAGACTCGTAATTCCAACGTACCGTGATCGAATCCCATTGCTGGCTGAGTGGATTTTTATCATGGTATAGCTTTAAATGGGTACCAGAATGTATGTCCTGGAAAATTAAAGACGGCAGGTGTAATGCAGACCACATTACCCACCTAGTGCCGATTGGTCTGTAAAAATATGCCCTCAAGGCGTAAAAAGGTATCTTTACTTTTACTTTTTATATAAATGAAATCCCAAAACTGTTGTAATCAGTCCTATATTTACCTGTCCAAAGACTTCTTCACTGACAGAAAATGTGAGATCCAAATCAACTTCACTGATATCGTTATCTTTGATCCACAACAAGCTCTGATGAAACTCCATGTCAAGAGATTCTACATCTTCCAATGACAAGGGTCTGCACAGAAAAGGTTGGAAACAATATTGATCTTTGTTAATTTGTGCAGCCAAGAATAAAGACGTTAACTACTCAGGGAAACTTTGACCGTATGCAGCTTTATTTGTCAGTTTCTAATTACCATGCAGCATCCGGGACAATGTGTGATATCATTTTCTAAGTGAATACATATATATATATACATATTTATATATATACATACATACACACATACACCCCCCCCCCCCCCAGAACACACACAAAGAACAGTAAAAATGATATTAGGACAGAAAACAGAAAGAAAGATAAGAAAGAAGGAAAGAAAGAAAGAAAAAGGGAGAGAGATAGAGTGATGCCATAGAAACAGAGGGAGACTGTGTGTGTGTGTGTGTGTGTGTGTGTGTGTGTGTGTGTGTGTGTGTGCGTGCGTGCGTGCGTGCGTGCGTGCGTGCGTGCGTGCGTGCGTGCGTGCGTGCGTGCGTGCGTGCGTGCGTGCGTGCGTGCGTGCGTGCGTGCGTGCGTGTGTGTGTGTGTGTATTCATTCTGTAGTGCGCGCGCATGAATACATGAAGTCTTTCTTATATATGAGCAGTGATATTTTTAATGCAATGCACTGTCTATTGTAGTTTTAGCAGAATATCACTACTACTTTGTTACTTTTGTGCTTTTGTTCCACAGCTGGATGCCACAGGAAAGTTAATGTTAGTCTCAGATACTGTGTAATTATTAATTGTTTGATATTTTGCAACAAGCAATATGTCCTGAGCTCCCTTAGCAACATGGATGAACTATAAGAAAATTTAGCCCCAATATTGTTGTGCACTGGAATAAACAAGGATCAGAGAGATCCAGGGCTATAGATGTCTGATCTCTCGCACTGTGGAACACACCAGCTTTTCTGCCTTGAGTGCTTTGTAATCCCTTGATCAGGAAAACCCTTTTACAGTCAAGACTATTGCGCGTGGCCGAAGAGGCAACAAAACACAACGGATCTAGAGGAGACAACCTCAATAAAAAAAAACCTTAGCCTACGGTGTACCTACGTGCCTATTCGCTCAATGACTGGAGTATGTACAGTCGTAAACCTGGAAAGTCTGGTTAGCGAGTGGGGCGTCGCCAGGCATATGGACTCCTTTAGGACATCCCCTGCCTCTTCCCTAGCAAGCAGGCAATACTAGGGTTAGGGTGACCGTTTACTTCCTACATTGAAAGAATACCTTCTATGGATTTTGTACTTTATAATAAAAAGAATCATCACCGGAGCTATGGAGTGTGTGCCCTGTGCTTAATACCATCTTCAGGGGCAACAGAGAAAGTGGGAAGAGGAGAAGACAGAGAAATGGAGAGAGAAGACGGCATAGAATTGGAGAGCCGGAGCCCAGAGATTCAGGCAAAAAACGGAACGTCTGGGATTAAAGCAGATTAGAGTGGTTTACTGGAATAGTCGTAGTGCCAAGCAGAGAGGACCTGTATTGGAGAGACTGATTTATTACTGATATCATTATGCTGCAGAAATTAAATACAGACAGATATAAGTGTCCTGGATACATAAGTTACATAAATCCTATCGGACAGGGAAGGCATGAACTATGTCTGCTGGTGAAGAATGGGTTGAAACATGTGGTTCTTGACCTGGGCCAGTGGAATCATAGTACACTAGAATTTCAGGGTATTCAAATAGATAATGGGGGATCTGGAATAATCTGGAATATAGTAAATATTTACACTGCAGTTGACTCTCTTGTCACAAAGGAACACTGGGACTTGCTCAAAAATTTGGAGGAAATCCCTGGTAATAGGCTTCTTATTTGTGGAGATTTCAATGCGAGGAACAGATCATGGGACAGTACTGGGGAAAATAGACAAGGAAATGCTTTAGCAGAGGCTATGGTGAATGCAGATAGAAGCCTCTCTCACATGGAGGCAGTTGCAGTGAAATGCCAAAAATGACTTAATGCTCTCAAGATTATGACCGCAATGGACATGGAACAAAGAATGCTGTTCATAATGTTCCAGCATGTGATCCTGTCGGTGATAGACAGCAGACAGATCATTACGGTCTGAGGAGAATGGCGCTGCAAGGAGTTACCAGGGGATGTGCCTGATGCTACACACTAGGGGAAAAGAGGAGACATATACAATCAGACGGCTACTGGTGCGATCATAAATAGAACTCTTCGCTTGCTGCTAAAGATGGGGACGGAACACTTATTGGAGTGTCCAGAGTGCTGTCGATTCTTAATTCAACATACTTTTGTGCTTACGATTAACTTCTATTAGTAAGTAAATGCCAATTAATTTTCTTAGTACTAGGCTTTACTGAATGTTTGATGATACAAGACTGGAGCATTCATACTATGAATGTTTTGTTTCATGAAAAACACAAATAAATACAAGACCAGGATGCTGGCTTTCCATATCTGATGATATACACTGATAAATACAGGATTGGGATACTCACACTCTCAGCAATGACTTGTAAAATGGTCGAGTGAAGAAAGCATCAAGCAGGTATTGATGGACTAAAGCCAGGCCCAGGACACGACCAGAAAATCTGAACCTAAAAGAAATGGTACCAATCACAAACAATATCTTGTTGGAATGTACAATTCCAGAGTCTTTCCCCCTGGGTACTGCATGTGAGTCTGTTGACAATGAAATGTCTAAAAGCTATTTTGTATATTTATGACCTCTTCAGTTTTCTCATATTTGTTCTCTCAATGATTTTCAGAAAAGGTCTCAAGCCTCTGTGAAGGGTGTGGTGTAATGCATGTCTTCCACTAATTTATTTAGCTTGGTGTCCACCCTACTGCATGAAGAGTGGATGTTTGTAGCATACTCAGGTACCTGTCTGGTGTGTGCAAACTCAACTTTAGCTGTCTGTTGTGTGCAAACTCAACTTTAGCTGCCTGTTGTATGCAAACTCAACTTTAGTTGATAAGTATGTCAGAGGGTGAGGGTGTGGAATTGCACACTGATAATTCACATGGTTTACATGGTGGGCGTGTGGGGACGCTTGAGCCACCTTAAGTCTGTTAAACAAGTGTTGCTTGAAATTCACAGGTAACTTCACACGCCACAGGTACTGCAAGAGGAGTATGAAAGCCACAAGAAACTGACTGCTGGTCAGCAGCCCTCCCTCAGTGAAATAGGATGGATGTATGCATATGTCATGTGAGTGCTGTTCTTAACAAAGTGTTGTATTCTGCTGAAACACATGGAGTGTCTGGTTAAATTCAGCGTACCAGAAGTCAGAATGGTGTCAGCGTAAATTTTGTAGAATGGACAGTGTAAGTGTTGGCCTGTGTGTATGCGTCACACTGGTTGATGGGAACAAGTGTCTGAATGTTCTAAGGAGGTTGCTATGGTAACTGGGGCTTGATGGGCATGAGGTCATGATGAGGAGGTATCTGGGATACTTCCATGAGTGACAAGGTGGCATGCCGTGTCTGCATTTTCATCATCAGATTTGGTGCATTTGCCTGGTGGCAGGGTTTCTTGGATAGAGAGCAGCTAGACAGTGCAAATCATAAAAGGACTATCTACACACTCTGGCAGGAGTTGCCAGTAGCAGCTATCTGGATACAGAATGCAGGAGTGTATTGTAGTTCCGTCCGCATTCTAGAGATTGCAGGTGTGCCTGTATTTGGCAGAAAGTAGCACAGTCAGAGTTACTCACTGATTCACCAATTCATCGTCATCTCAAAAATCCAAGTCTAGCATCCAATAATCAGGGGAGCTATCATTTCTGACTTTTACAATCGCTAACACTATCAGTTAACAATTCAATTTTGCCCGATTGTTCCGTCAACATCATGAGCTAATCATACTACTGTTTATGATTTGTAAAAATTCAGTCAGTCAACATCAAGAGATAATCATACTATTGTTTCTGATTTTTACAAATTCAATAATCAATCAACACCATGAGATGAACCAGATCTACTTGAGCTGTAGGCTTCTTCTTCGTCTTCTTCGCGTTCACCAGCTGTATACTCTGGCGGAAAGTTCTGGTTGCTCGTCCAGTACTGAACTGCAGTCCTGTTCCAGAACCTGAGTGTTGCGTGTGCATCGGTTTTACAGATCTCATTCTCTTGAATACAGACTGTTGGTTCCTTGCCTCTCCAGCAGATGCACTCCGACCTCAAAGGAAGCTCCCCAATTAGTCGACTCTTACGACATGCTTTTGGGGAGGCAGTGGGTCCATTCTTGTTTTCCCCACAATGGGGCCCCGGAACCCACACGGGGGGAGCTGTAGGCAAAAACTGTAATCTCTGCTCTACTCCTCCATGATAAAAAATATATATATATATATATATATATATTTTTTTTTTAAAAGCATCCAGAAACCATGAGTTGTAAACCCTTTGGCTCGGTACTATGGATATCGCAACCCTTCGGCCTTGATTTCATTATAGGTACCGTAAATCTGTGAGAAATGTGGCTTTTCTGCCTACCCCCGGAAGTGAACCAGGACCACAAGGAGTTCGTCACCCGGCCACTGCTAAAGTCAGGTTTAATCAACTACACCAAAGAGCCGGGGATAAAATATATATATATATATGGGTTATGAAAACTAGAACATTTCGCATCTGCCCACATTTTTTAACAATTAAGAAATATCTCACTATAGCTACTAATATTTTTGTACTCTCAAATATTCTGTTTTAAGAAGGCATACTTCAGAAATTCTTACCATTCATGAGCATTTTCTACTATCGTGGACAATGGACTGACTTGTACTGTGTAAGTATCATTTGCCGAGTATTCAAACAATCCATAGTACGGGTTGAATAACTCTCTGGACAGCAAAAAGAAAAACTCCCTTGATGGGCCACCATAGTCCAGACTGAAAAAAATGCAAACAACTGTTACTGCAAACTGGGAATATGCTATTCATTAATGTATGGTTATCTTTTTCTTATTATTGTCCATGTGGTGTTGGTAGTCATGGCCATCCACAAGCTTCTGAGTCGTGTACTTTCAATCAATTCTGACACAGATGATCTTCCATGCCATGATGTAAATCTATCCAGCATCTGTTCTCTCTGTCTCCCTTTTTTCCCTCTCCAAGTTTCCTAAAGTCATAATGTACTCCAGTTTTCATCTTCTCATGACATAGCCAAAGACAAGATTGTCTTTTTCTAATGTAGACAATCAATTCTCTTCATGAGTCCGTTTTTTTTAAAGACATCTTCATTGCTCTTTTTTACATGTCCGGAGTGTTCTCATCATTCATCAATAAAACACATCCCCACTGCTGCCACATAATTGTTCACTAATCGGCTAACTGTTCACGATTCACATCTTTATATCACAATAGGATTTATAAAGTTCTTAGGAATTATCTTTCTCCCCTCAACAGACCCCCCCAACAAATGTGCATAAAATATTCTTCATTTGATGAAATGTTGCCTTTGCCTGAGCTATTCTACATTGACTTTCTTCAAGGCATGTCTCATTACAGCAGAACAATCATCAGTCCTAAATAAGACAAGCATGTCTTATTTTATCTTTTGTTATAGAAAATCAACTCTGAGAGAACTACACAAAATATTTTATTGTCATGAGCAGGTTTTAACACTGGTTTCCTTGAATGCTGAACAGTGCTGAATTAGAAAACCTCCTGCTTAAACAGATAAATTACCATTTATAATTTATGTTTAAAAAAATATTCCAATATCTCAGCAAAGAATTATAGACAATCAACAACAAAACCAAACAGCACGTAAATGGACAGAAACAAATGAAGACAATTTAACAAACACACCATTTCATTATCCTCGACTGAGTCTTAGAACATATGAAATCAGAAATTTTAGTAAATCTGAATTGACTCTCACACTCTGTCAAACATGGAATTTCATATCCTCAAACTCCAGCTCCAGAAACCCAATTATGGTTACCTAAGTGACAACACAATTGCTAAAATAGAAACTCCAACACAGAAGAATGACCTTACCCTTCCTCTCCAGCAAAAGTAATGTACAGTTTGTTTTTCTGAAGTTCTTTCTTTGGTGTAGACATGATTTTGTTGAAAGCATCCTCTAAAACATGGTCTCTCCTTACAGTCAGTCTATAGAAAATATGCAGGAAATAAACGTGAAAGAATGATCTGTACTGACATTATGAAAGAATCTTGACACTGTGAAATAATCTATCTGTATTGACATTCTAGTAAATGGTTGTAAATGAATGGAGCTTAACATTACTGAGAAATAGATTCTTACACTACTACATATAAAGAGTAGCACACTTCCCAGACAGCTCAATTTTAAGGATCATAATTTGCATTAAACATTTTGTGTGTGTGTAAATATAAATGGGCTCTCAGGTCAACAGCCTAAAATGGGTGCCAGGACTCTTCCTGGTGGTCACTGCGATGACCACAGTGATGACCACAGAGATGACCACATCATTTTCAATAGGTGCCGATTTTAAAATATAGGACTAGCATCATATGCTTTAAGAAAAGAACAGGCCCATTAATGGTTTAGTTTTACATTGTTTTCTTTAAAGTGAACATCACCATGATGGTACACACTCCACGTTCAATTGGTAACAGGGCAGGTAGAATATTAAGACAGAAATGTGTAAAAATTTGCCTAACTTACTATCCAATATTGAAAAACAGCAGTGGAATACCTTGACCACAAACATATTCACCGAGGAATTATAATGACCTTTAGGTAGGTTATGAAGAGAAGAAGAATTGTGTGCAATAATTATGTGCTGTAGTACAAACGGATGTGATGGTGCACTGAGTCCCTTCTATATTTTACACTCTCACTGGTCTACTGTAGGTGGTTGCTCAGTGCATCAAACTCACAAATGGATGAATACAACACGCCGACATCTCTGACAGGATTCAATCTTCAACAGCTTCATGATCAAGTTTATTAGGTGAACATCAATAAGCTGTCCGCCATTCTTCAGTCCAACGTCGTATGGGAAAATCGCAAGTCTGACTAACATGATAATTGTTCACTAATTAAAGTGTACTGACAACTGAATCATTCACAGTTGAACACTGGTACTTTCACGCAAGCAGAAACTACTTCAACAGCTGGCTAAATCCTTCACACAAACTTCCCATCATTCCTTAAGTTACTTCACCTCATTAGCAACAATAAACATTAGACATAACTTAGGCTTTTCAAATAAACAATATAAACAAATAAGACTGCACTTTGGACGACAAAACACATTTTTGACAGACTACTAACTTTAATTTTCCAGGACCTTGCCCGTAGCCTTTGGATTCCAATTTTTTGTAAAAGTTTCGTAGCTTTGCCTGGAAGTCTCGCTTGTAAGGAGCTGGAACCCGACCGGGGAGGCGCTGAACTGTGTTTACAAGTACAACATTATTATAATATTAGTTTACACAAATACTACTTTCTTCTTTTTCTTTATATTTACCAGCTATCTATAAACACCAGCAGAAATCTCTAGTTCTTCAGCTACTTCAGGAATTTGCAGTCTTGTTCCAGAACTCGAGGTTTGTGTACACATTAATTTTACAAATCTGGCTTATCTGCATGCAGACTGTTGGTTTCTTGGCTTTCAAGCAGATGCATTCTGATTTTGACAGAAACACTCCTAATAAGAGGACTTTTACTATATGCTTACTGAGGGGGGGGGGGGGGGGGGGGGGGGGGGGGGGGGGAGGGGGGGGGGGGGGGGGGGGGGGGGTTTTGGGGGGGGGGGGGGGGGGGGGGGTGGGGGGGGGTGGGCTCTCCGTTCTATTCTAATCCCACAATGGTGCTCCAAAATCCGCATAGGGTTGAGCTACATTTAAAAGATGATTTTACAGACAGGAGTTACAACGGCTTGGTGGTCAGCATACTTGCCTGCTGAGAGAATGGTTACAGTTCAATCCCCACAAGTGGCAAGCAATTTTTTTGTAACAGTATAGTTCCAAAATTGATCCAGTCTAAAAATCTGACACCATAAAATTTTTCAGAATTGACTGGGAAAGAAACATAACGAGAGAAGGAACTGGCACAGCGCCCTACATGTCATGATCTAGAATGTATAAAGGTCTAACTTTCATATCCCAACTCCCCTATCTTCTATAATCAAATTTTTTTTTTTTAAAGTATATGAACTATAACAGCCAGATAAAGTAACAGCTAAAATGCATAAAGTTTTATACCATCGCACATCAAGTGTATTTGCTTCTTCTCAACATGCCAGCACCTACAACAATGTTATTTTTTCATCTTTGAGGAAGAGTACCATAGAAATTTGAAGGCAGGCAAGTAAGAGAAAGACAGTACTAAAAGTGGAGGATCACTATAGCCAACCTTCACTGAGGAAGCTTTCAACTAACTGAAAGATGATGAGCTAGCTTCATTCTGTATCATTTCTATAAAAGCATGTCTTCACTTTTAGTTAAAATGTATATTTAACAGACACATCCATGAGCATATCATTGACCTGGTGAGCCTTGCGGAGATCCCTGATTTGTGGCCTCCATGACTTGGTTGTTTCTTGCACACACTGTAGGGGGCACGTAACTCATGATCTCATTCTCAAAAAGGCTGCAAATAAAACAAGTTAGCATATAAATCTAAAAATTAGTCAAACAAAAACATAGGGATAAGAATGCTTGACATTAAAGATTTATCAAGACATTAGCATGCTAGATCCAAAATGTTTTAGGCTGCTAAAGGCTACAGGTGAGAAAACAGACTTAACTGCACTGCAGAATGACTAACCACTTGTTGAGACCATCACAAAAGACATGAACTCCATAGCTCTGGCAACGACTCCCAAATCTCCATGCAACTGTGCCCATGAACCAAATGATACAGCCTTGAAATGAACTCACAACCTTCAGAAAATGAAGCAGACCAGGCCAAGCAGGTCTTTACCCCTCCCCCTCACTTTTATTAAAGGTTATACACAAAATAAAACTGGCATCATGAGGGCTAAGAGACTGCAGTGGTAGGGACATATAGAGAGAACATACACAAGTTAGATGAATGGGAGAACACCATGGGGCAGACCAAGAAGATGATGGAGTTACAATATACAGCAGACCTAAGACACTTGGAGTCATCAAATGAAAGAAGATGGCCAATCACACAGATGAATCTGCAGTAATAAACCCCAAACGCTAGTAATCTAAAGAAGAAGAAAATCCAGAATGAGACAAAAAATAAGGCTGGAGACAACTGACTTCACTGTATGGATATCAATATGATATGGCTCAGCCTCCCCAGAACAGCTGTTTACCCATAATGCTGCACAAAGAACGACTCTGTGCCCCCCCCCCCTTTCTTTTCACCACATAATCCTAAAAACACCTGCACTCACAAACCAAAGTACACAATCTAAAACCAAACCCACAAATAAATGGCCTATAGAGCACAAGACAAATAACTAACCATTCTGCCAGAGAGATCCCCACTTTGAAAGATCTGTGTCACAGATTATATTTTATATATCTTAATAATTTAAAACATGTGTAGCTAAGCACACACTACCTTAACAGGAGAGTGAGATCTATGTCATTAGAATATCTCTCCAACATCTCCACTCCACGAGCTGAGATTTTAGCAATTTTGTCTCGGAGACTAGAACTGGAAGCAAACTGTGGACATCTGTCTCGGAGAAGCTCATCCACATTCGGCTGGCGCAGGAAGAGCACAACTTTTTCATTGTAAGCTGCAAAAAAACCACAGTCTCAAATAAATGTTTCAGAAATATAATTTACATTTGCAAAACAAAACAAACAAATAAATGCAGTCAAGAGGCTAAGATATGAAGACAGCTTATTACAAGCCTCAGAAAGATGCAGTCATAACTGTTTGGTCACATTATGAAGAGAGAGAATCTAGAAATTGGGACAACTGGAGAGATTTGAAGAAAGAGAAACAGGACTATAAACAGTGAAGATCTTTGACAGCCTTTTGTTATGGCATGTGGCGTGGTTCTATGGTTTAAGTAGGACATTTGGTACTTTCAGGTCAGTGTTTGAGACCAAGCCAGTTTAGCATTTGTAGTCTGGATGGAACAGGCGGATGTGCATAGGTTGTTCTTTCAAGTTTCAAGTGGTCTTGGCAAAACGGGTAAGAAGCTTTGTGTCTCTCCTGTCTTCCAGACTGAGACCAGGAAGTGTTTCCATGTCTGATATGGGTGTGCAACTTCTAATGTAGAGGGCCTGAGGGCTATCCTCCGAATAACATTCTAAATTATCAAGGCGGAAAATATATAGGGCCTCAGTCACGTGATGCCTCGATCTGGTGTAGAGCTTGCACTATGTTGCAGGGGTGCATCCTAGGTCACACGACTGTATGCAGCAGCGTATATTAGAGGCTGCATACAGTTGTGGGACATAGGCTGAGGCTGTGGGATTAGGCCCAGTTGTACATATTTTGGGACGGTTAAAAGCTCACAGCATAGAAGACAGCCGATATCGCCGGCTGCTAACAAGGAGTAAAATACAACTTCCTACTCCTGAAATCCTTGCGACACAGTGCAAGTGCTACATCAGATGGCGGCATCAATTTGAAGGAAAATCACTCTCACTTTGGGTCACTTATCATGTAATTTACCTAAACATAATATGGCATCATAAACTATAAGAATAATTCTGACATCTTGTCTTGTTAAATTTCTGTATGCCAAATCTCCAGTCTTCAATTTTTTCTGTATTCACCTTAAAAGGACAGTTTAGGACACAGTGTTGTGGTCAACAGCTAAGCTGTGATATATGTGCCTTTAGGTAAAAAAAAATATGATTTCAGCAACCCCTAAATAGTCAACTTTTACGACATGAGGGGGCAGTGGGTGTATCCACCCCCCCCCCCTCCCGCAGTGGGGAGCAGTGGGGCTGAGAACCCACACAGGTAAAAACCTCCAGTAAATAACAAGTGTGAGCACATAAAAAGTTATTTAAACAATCAAAGAAGAGTAAAGAACCCTTTCCCACCAGTAGCACATCAGGCATATAGTGTAAGATTACATATTTTTTTTAAAATAAACCAATTAGTACTTAAAGGATGGCATTACGCCGATCACCTTTACTTCCTATGAAATTTCTAATTCCCATTTAAGATTTATTGACTTAGCAGCTAAGGAATATGTTAAGCAAAAAGTGAGTAAAGGACACTTTAGCACCGTGAAAATATAGTGCTAGATGTATATTTTATAGACCAAATAGCATTCGACAGGTGATGATGTCAACATCACACAGGCAACCTTTGCTTCCCTCAATGTTACCTGGTACCCGTTTTAAGCTGCCCATTAAAAAAAATATTGCCTCGATGCAGATTTGAATCCAAGACATTCAGGCCATCAGGCAAGAGTTTAAATTGGATGAATTTAATTTAATTCTCAGCAGAAAAAAAAAAGAAAGCAAAAAACACTCACCAGTGGGAATTGCTGCTGTGTTATCATTAGGTGTTGGTCTTGGAGGTGGCAGAGGCTGTGAGAGAAGACCATGAATGAGACAGCAATCAATAAATCATTCACAAGAAAAGCACAACTTCACACAGCAGACTGTCTGGCTGAAAGTTGTGTGTAAATGTCTCAAGGGTCAAGGGTTCAAATTCACAATGACGTGAATTTTAGCAAATGTACATGTTTTCCCAGGTGGACCCAACACAAGAAATATGTACAAGGGAATGTTACTTGTTATTTGCACAGATTTCTTATCACATCTGTCCAAACCATTCATGCTGTCTTCTGATGCAGCAGTGATGACAGTATCTCATGCTCAACATACCCAGCAGCAACTGACTGGGAGTACCTTCTCTTTCTGTCTCATAATTGGTTTCCACATGTTTCTCATTGTTTAACTGCACATTCAGTAGGCCTGCCCTGTCCCTACTTCTTCCTCAAGACGAGGAAATCTCAAGAAAAGTAAAGGTAGCCAGTGTGATATTACCTATCTTTCTGCCAAAAGGTCTTTATAAATATGGGGCTAGCTCAATTGTGCCTCAAGATGTTAAAAAGGCTGATCCCTGTCTTACATAATTATCATTTTGTTTATTTGTTATTTATCGGTAAACCGCCAATATTCACCTATCTCAGTGTGCTCAATATATTTACTTTTCTTCTTCGGTATTAGCGCTTAAAAGCAAGGTTGGCAGGTTGTGATGTGGTTATAGCTAGGCTGCGATACCTGTGCCTACTGATCCAACGCATCGTATTTAAGAAAACTCCCAATTAGACACTTTTAACAACATGCTTGTTAGAGGGAGAGAGTATCATTTTGTCAACCCAAAATGCTGCCCTGAAACCCACACTCGGAAAAAACATCCTTATATGTTCACTTATGCTAAAGATCACTAATCCTGAAAGGATGAATATATTAGTAGATTATAACAGCAGAAAGGTATAAAGTAGAGAAGATTGACTTTATTGCACTGGTTTGTATCCAATATGGCTCGCTCGCTCTTCCTCAGCTAGCTGCCTGCCAACAGCCAACAAGGCCAAAGAACTGTAGCTTCAGCAATGATATCAAGGATACTCATAAACATTGTGGCAGTGAAGGGAACAGTAGTCTGTGAAATGGACCCAAGCTCGACCCTCTGACAACTTTGCCATGGAGAGCCCAATTATCTAATGTGCACATGAAAATGAAATAGTAATCATCAGAAAAAGCACAAAATTGAAATAATGCTGAACTGAAAATCGACATAACAGCACTAATTAAATTCCCATAAGCACTCTGTCTCCATCTTCAACAGCAAGCAAAAAGTTCCAAATCCCATGGCTTGAGTAACAATCTGATTACATGTCAGTCTCACCTTTCCCTTTAGTGTTCCCATGAAAGCCAGATCTCCTGGTCACTCCTAGCAGCACTATTTTACTCAGAGAGTGATGATCTCTTTGTGCCTCTGCACTGTTAACTCATTCTAAAGGACCCTTATAACATCTAGCATGTCATGCAGCAAATACTTGGAGCGACCACTCACTTCCTGCAGTGACATAATTTTTGCTATGAGTTTTGCAGCTGAAATTTTTTTATTTGTTTTATTTTTAAACAACTGAAAAATACAAATGTGACTCTAGTCAATCCTTGACAAACTGTAATTTCCCAATTGTAACTCAAATAAACTAATGTTTGGACCAGGCTAACTCTGCTCAGATCCTAAGCTTCTTACCGCCTCTAATTCTGTCCGTACAGCTCTTGTGCGGGGAGCAGGATTTTGCAGAAAGTCTGGATTGATGAGGGGAACATCGGTGGGAAGGCGAGGATCCATAAATGTTGTTGTACGCAGAACATGATCAATGAAGAAAGCCTAATGATAAAAATATGTAAAGTTGGATACAAATGATGTTATACTGTTTACACTAGTAAAATAATAAAGACAAAACAGATGTGAGAATTATTTTCATTTCTTTAAACAGCTTGGTTTCATTACCCGTCTCTTCAGAGTTTATGTACTTGACTGTTTTTGTTTTCATGAAATATGACCTAATCTTCTGTGTGTCCTCTTTTCCAGAAACTCATTTTAATTTTCTCACTGCCTGTTCAATGTTCAGGCTTCTGCACCATATTGTAGGGTAGTGTATACATTAACATTCAACATTTCTCATTTAATGTTTTGTTTGTCTCTTGAGATGTTAATAACTTATGCATGCTGGTCAAAACATTTTTTGGTCATTTCAATTTTTGTAATTTTTTCTTCTTTTTGTTTCCATTCCATGATTATATTCAAATATGACCCCCTAAAAATGAAATACTTTTGCTTTCTTGATTTATGTTGTTTTTTTTTGTTTGTTTCGTTGTTTGCATTTACCGGCTACACACTCCAGTGGAGAGTTTAGGTTGTTGCCCATTTCTGGACAGTGGTTGTAATCCAGGACTTGAATTTTGCATGTATTGTTTAGATCTAGCTTAAATGTGTGCAGTCTGTTTCCATGCCTACTAGGCAGATTGCACTCCCATTTCCTAAAAATAAAAAATTATCTTTACTTTTCTACAGCAGGAAACCAGCTAACTATGTGTCATAAGAAATTACTTTACACTGACCTTGCCAGCTCTGTCATATTTCATTTCCCAGCGTCGAGGAAGTTCCTTCGATGTATCACAAAACAGGTTCACAAAGGATACCAAGTCTCTATTGTGCTGATATCTACATCAGGATAGGGGTGAAAGAAAACAAAGAGACAGAAATATAACTATTCAGGTTACAGTCATAGTCATGTTATATACGTTTACATCCACAAACATTAAAATGATGTACTCTGTCCTCACTATATTAATGGATTCTTTGACAGTATGTCTTTAAACTTCATTATTTCTTCCGACAGCCCATGACTTGTAAGGTCAGTCATGCTGTCTGTTCACAGACGTCTTTTTCATGAAATTACAATACTTTGCATGTCAACAAAATGACATGGCCTTCTTTGTATATCCACAAAACTAACATGGCTTTCTTTATATATCCACAAAATGGCATGATCTTCTTTGCATATCCGCTAAATGACATGACCTTCGTTGTATTTCCACAAAATAACATGACTTTTTTTGCATTTACATAAAATGACATTTTTTTGCAGATCCACAAAATGGCATGAATGTCTTTGCATATCCACAAAGTGCCATGACTTTCTTTGCAGATCAACCAAAGGACATGACTTTCTTTGCAGATCAACCAAAGGACATGACTTTCTTTGCAAATACTCACGCTAGGGTAGATGTCCAAGCAATTGTGCTTATGGTGGCTCTACCTAGTACTACTAAATCAGTGGCTTGTTCTTAAAAACCTGTCAAATGCCCAGCAGTATTATTCATGCCCTGGTTGCCATGACATTGTGTAATGGATGTAAATGCAACACTCCGGTTATAAAACAGAACTAGAATGGAGAAGTGGATGAACAACCAGAGCTTTCAGCCGGAGTTTACAGCTGGTGCACACAAAGAAGAAGAAGAAGAAGACTGCAGAAGGGACTGTTGGTGATACTGTGTATAAGCGGATACTCCTCTTTTGTGCAAGGGGTGCCTGCGAGCTAGCAAACAGAATGAGGTGTACTACTAGCCCTGTTGTGAGTGTTTACCCTAGTAACTATCTTACTCTACCAAAACGGATACTCCCCCTTTACTAATGAGGTGTCTGTAGGCTAGCAAAGGATGGTATATTATTTTTTCAAAATGCCCAGTCTCAAAATCAAAATGCGACTTACAGGACTGGGGAAAATAGGGTAGTTATATCAAAGAAGAACTGTTCATTGTTCATTTAAAGATCACTTTCATCGCACATCGGACATGACCATAAGTGCTCCAATTACTTCCTGAGTACGTCTTCAAGAAAAGAAGAATATAATACGCTAAATGTCAGACTTGTCAATGAGACTTGTCGAGCCATATCTCCCTATTAAAATGGTATGTTACACACCTTTCAAATGTTTTTGGGTCCCTCCTTATTTTTGTTATCATGTGCTTCAGCTTGCTGTTTCTGTTGTAATCAACCATTGCGCTCTGCGGAGTTGAAAACAATGGGATAAATGCTGAATCTAATAGAACTTTCAGCGAGATAAAACAAAGCAACAGTATCAAACAATAAATCGAAATCATTTTATTGAATCTGTTTAGGGAATAATCCTGCCATTACATGATCGATCAGGTCTGTCTTTTTCTTCTTCTGCATTCACCCTGAAATGGAACGTTATGTCTACAATAACACAATTAGCTGACTGTTAGTTAAGGGGCAGCTGGTCTTCTACCCACCCCCAGGGCCCTAGAACCCACACAGGGATAATCAGGGCTGTATTAATGTCCAGTTTATGCCATGTGGCCAAACCATCTAACAACTGAATCTTTGTCTTTCCCTAGCTCTTCTGCCATCAAGAGTGCCAGCTGTCCCTAAACTGTCAAATTCATTTCTACTAACATGCCCCAAAATGTGTGACTGCCTACATCTAATTTCTTTAATCAATTCATGGCTTTTCCTGTTAAGTGAAGGACAGTCTCACTGATTTAGCTGTCTATCCATGGCACTGCAAACATTTTCCACTGTTAAGTGAAGGACTGTCTCACTGATTTAGCTGTCTATCTATGGCACTGCAAACATTTTCCTCTGTTAAGTGAAGGACCGTCTCACTGATTTAGCTGTTTATCCATGGCACTGCAAACATTTTCCTCTGTTAAGTGAAGGCCGTCTCACTGATTTAGCTGTCTATCCATGGCACTGCAAACATTTTCCTCTGTTAAGTGAAGGACCGTCTCACTGATTTAGCTGTCTATCTATGGCACTGCAAACATTTTCCTCTGTTAAGTGAAGGACTGTCTCACTGATTTAGCTGTCTATCCATGGCACTGCAAATATTTTCCTTTGTTAAGTGAAGGACCGTCTCACTGATTTAGCTGTCTATCCATGGCACTGCAAACATTTTCCTCTGTTAAGTGAAGGACTGTTTCACTGATTTAGCTGTCTATCCATGACACTGCAAACATTTTCCTCTGTTAAGTGAAGGACCGTCTCACTGATTTAGCTGTCTATCCAAGGCACTGCAAACATTTTCCTCTGTTAAGTGAAGGACCGTCTCACTGATTTAGCTGTCTATCCAAGGCACTGCAAACATTTTCCTTTGTTAAGTGAAGGACCGTCTCACTGATTTAGCTGTCTATCCATGGCACTGCAAACATTTTCCTCTGTTAAGTGAAGGACGTTTCACTGATTTAGCTGTCTATCCATGGCACTGCAAACATTTTCCACTGTTAAGTGAAGGACTGTTTCACTGATTTAGCTGTCTATCCATGGCACTGCAAACATTTTCCTCTGTTAAGTGAAGGACCGTTTCACTGATTTAGCTGTCTATCCATGGCACTGCAAACATTTTCCTCTGCTAAGTGAAGGACCGTCTCACTGATTTAGCTGTCTATATAGGGCATTGCAAACATTTTTCTCTGTTAAGCGAAGGACCGTTTCACTGATTTAGCTGTCTATATAGGGCATTGCAAACATTTTCCACTGTTAAGTGAAGGACCGTTTCACTGATTTAGCTGTCTATCCATGGCACTGCAAACATTTTCCTCTGCTAAGTGAAGGACTGTTTCACTGATTTAGCTGTCTATCCATGGCACTGCAAACATTTTCCTCTGTTAAGTGAAGGACCATTTCAATGATTAGTTGTCTATCTATGGCATTGCAAACATTTTCCTTAGAAAGCACTGCCAATAAACAATGAACATTATGAAAATGGTTTACTATCAGAGATTGGAATATCTGAACATTGTAAAAAGATTGGAACTGTGAAAATGATTTGTAAACTGTGAAAACTATTTCTTGTGAAGTTATGAAAATCTGACAACGGGTAATGGGTGTAACACTTTGGAGATATACACACTTAAACACTGGGTAAGACTGTCACATGTGTGAAGACATGTAATAAATAACTTTGAAATGCGATGGTTTTTTAGCTTATGAACTTTGTTCTGAAGCCACTGAACACACTGCCACCCAACATATTTCTATTAGCCTACACATAGTATGGTAAACAAATTTCAGATAAATCATATATACTGCTAATAGCCATACCTCGTTAGCTTGCAACATGGGAAAAAAATCTGGTCGTGTCAAAAATTTCACAGCAGGAAGTTTGTAAACACTGCGTTCTGAGCGCTCGGATACTCTCTCTGGAGGGCTAGCAGCACTTGGGCTTTGGTCTGGCTGGTTACTGGCACCTTATGTGAAATGTACAATACAGATTAGTCAGGTTCATGCATAAGGTAATCTACAGTCACCATTTTAATGCTTAAGTTGGTCTTAAGAAGATGGAAATGGCTTGGTCACGTTATGAGAATGAATCCTGATATACCTGCCAAGACAGCTCTCACATGGACACCAGAGGGAAAGAGAAAACAGGGGTGCCCAAAAACAACATGGAGACGAACGATGGAAAGTGACCTGAGTGTGGCATCTTTGACATGGAAAACTGCACTGAAGATTGCACAGGACAGGAAAGCATGGACAGTCCTCTCTAAAGCCTCATGAGCATAACGAGAACTGATGATGATCATATGACCAAAGAATGCAGATTGTCTTTTTCTGTTGTCAGCAGTCAGTTCTCTTCATGAGACAGTTTCTTTCAAGACATCATTAATTTTTTTAATCTGTCCAGGATATGCTCATCATGTGTTTATAAAACCAAATCTCCAGAGCTTGCAAATACTTTTTTGAAAATCTACCAACTGTTCATGATTCTTTTTCTTCTTCTTCTTCTCTTCTATCATTTACCCCAGCGAGGTGTTGAAGATAGATGTAAGGATCGTTTGTGGGCTTTTTCCAATGCATTGTACAAGTTGGTGCTCATTTCTGCTAGGTTGCTCCTGGTGGTTTTGCTCCATCTCTTTCGTGGTCTTCTCCTTGCTCCGTGTTCATTATATTTCTTCAGTGTGGCGCTCTGTGGCAGTTGGTACCTTGCCATTTTCGTCTTGTTCTTTAATAAACTGTATGACTGGTTTCAGTCCTAGTCTTCTTCTAATTTCTTCCTTTCTGAATTTATCTCTTCCTATCACACTGGCAGCTCTCCTGAGACATCTCATCTTTGAGGTTATAATCTTCCGCTCATAAGTTGTAGTAAGGGTCCATGTTCGACACAGGTAGCACAATGTTGACTAAAAAAAACGTTCTTATGGGATTTGCTTTAGTTGACAGAGGTATCTTTCTATGCGTCAGAAGCAGTATTAATTGTCCCATAACCTGATTTGTTTTCGCACATCGTATGTTGATTTCTCTATCCATTCTTTCATCTGAGGTGAAAAATGACCCCAGATATTTAAATTTAATTGTTTTGTTTTGTTTTGCATTATTTACTTTAATTGATATGGGATCTTCTTGTCTACCTATTACCATTGCCTCCATCTTATCAATGCTTATCATTATATTATATTTCTCACACTTAGTATTGACATGGTCTATATGGTTCTGTAAACTTTCTTCTGTATATAAAGATAGGATTTATATAGCTTTTAAGATTTCTTTCTCGTCTCAATTGACAAAGAAAGGTTGCATAAAACTTTCATTATGTAAAATGCTACTTTCCATCAAAATTAAGAGGGACCAAAAAAAAACATAACTCCAGAAAGAGCAAAAAATGCAACTGCATAATTATGTTAGCATCACATGCAAGCTATTGCTCAACTGACTACCTGTAATATCCCTGGGCTCTCCGGGAGGAGCATTATCCGCCTCTGCTTGCTGCTGACTCTGTGACATAGTTCTACGAATGCTCTGATATCTGCAAATTTAGAAATTGTCACTATTGAAACATAAACAATGTTCTAGATCAGGCATGGAGGGTCTAGAAGTTGGAAGGATACTGAGGGTTCAGGCATGTCAAGGGTTCAGAGCTGAGGGTTCAGACATGTCAAGCTGAGGGTTCAGGCATGTCAAACTGAGGGTTCAGACATGTCAAGCTGAGGCTTCAGACATGTCAAGCTGAGGCTTCAGACATGTCAAACTGAGGGTTCAGGCATGTCAAGCTGAGGTTTCAGGCATGTCAAGATGAGGGTTCAGAGCTGAGGGTTCAGACATGTCAAGCTTTGGGTTCAAGCATGTCAAACTGAGGGTTCAGACATGTCAAGCTTTGGGTTCAGGCATGTCAAACTGAGGGTTCAGGCATGTCAAGATGAGGGTTCAGGCATGTCAAACTGAGGGTTCAGACATGTCAAGCTGAGGCTTCAGACATGTCAAGCTGAGGCTTCAGACATGTCAAACTGAGGGTTCAGGCATGTCAAGCTGAGGTTTCAGGCATGTCAAGATGAGGGTTCAGAGCTGAGGGTTCAGAGCTGAGGGTTCAGACATGTCAAGCTTTGGGTTCAGGCATGTCAAACTGAGGGTTCAGGCATGTCAAGATGAGGGTTCAGGCATGTCAAACTGAGGGTTCAGACATGTCAAGCTGAGGCTTCAGACATGTCAAGCTGAGGCTTCAGACATGTCAAACTGAGGGTTCAGGCATGTCAAGCTGAGGTTTCAGGCATGTCAAACTGAGGGTTCAGACATGTCAAACTGAGGGTTCAGGCATGTCAAGCTGAGGTTTCAGGCATGTCAAACTGAGGGTTCAGGCATGTCAAGCAGAGGTTTCAGGCATGTCAAGATGAGGCTTCAGACATGTCAAACTGAGGGTTCAGACATGTCAAGCTGAGGCTTCAGACATGTCAAACTGAGGGTTCAGGCATGTCAAGCTGAGGTTTCAGGCATGTCAAGATGAGGGTTCAGAGCTGAGGGTTCAGACATGTCAAGCTGAGGGTTCAGGCATGTCAAGATGAGGGTTCAGGCATGTCAAGATGAGGGTTCAGGCATGTCAAGCTTTGGGTTCAGGCATGTCAAGATGAGGGTTCAGGCATGTCAAGATGAGGGTTCAGGTATGTCAAACTGAGGGTTCAGGCATGTCAAGATGAGGGTTCAGGCACGTCAAACTGAGGGTTCAGGCATGTCAAACTGAGGGTCCCAAGAAGGCCATATGAGTCATATTTGTGTTGTCATGAGGGCCACATATGACAACTAATTAATAAAAATTACTGCACAATTTTTTTTTATTGTGGGCCGCAGGTGTGCTTGCAAAGGGCCACATGCTGCCCACAGGCCACATGTTAGACATGCCTGTTCTAGATCATTTCAAACAATTAATTCTGAACCATCTCCACAATGAAGGTTTGCTACAGTCTACCACTGCTGTTTATGGGAATATAACACGCTAAGCCCCATTCTCTTTCACAGTGGCTCTTGTACCATTTTATAAAAACAATGACAGCAGTAAATTGCCCACCATGAGACAAAACCTAAGTACTAAAGAATCGTAAAACTGTTAACTACATTCACTAACCTCTAAGCCACAGATAATAACTAACAAGTTATTGAAGTAAAATTTACAAGTGTGCAACTGGATTTCAGGATAAAAGCCTCCATTCAAAATTAAGTCTTCTCTTCTTCGCGATCACCAGCTGTAAAGTCTGGCAGAAAGTTCTGGGTGTATGTCCCCAATCAGTCAACTCCACGGCATGCTTGTTGAAAAGGCAGTGGATCTATTCTTGTTTTCCCCACATTGGAGTCCCGGAATCCACCCGAGGATCAAGGTTCAGTGAGAACAGATAGCACCCATGTCAAAGGCAAGCTCAGAATGATATTATACCATTCATGAATGTTGTCAGGGACGACTTGGGAGGGTTGGTGTGAAATGGCTACTTTATCCAGTAGGAAACTACAGCTGCAATATCTGATCAATCATGTGCATATCTACAAGGGCTAGTGTGAGCTGGCTGATGGCCCACGCCCATTGGAAGATAAAAGGAGGAGGAGGAAGAAGGTATTATTATTATGACAAAGACCGACCACCTCATAACTATTTCGGTACCAGGGGGCAGTTACATTTCTTATAAATCAACACATGGTGTATTTCTTGGTATCAAAAAAGATTAATACATTAAGCATGTCGTAAATGGTGACTATTTAGGGGTGTTTCCTTCAAATTCAGAGTGAATCTGCCTGAAAAGCGAGGGCCCAACATTATGCATTTTTAAAACGGATGCACATGCAAAGCTCAAGTTCTGGAACAAGACCAAAGCAGAAAAGAAGGAGATGATGATGACACTGATAATCATTAGACACAGAAGATTAATCTAGCAGGTAGAAAAGTATGGCTTAATTCAGGGGTAGGTAAACTTATGGATAAGTGATGGGCTGACAGCACAGAAATGCTGTGTTGAGAGAATCAACATCACTGCACTGGGTTCTATCCTGTATGCTTGGTTTCTTTCACAGAACAACCAGCTGCCAGATGAGATCATCACACAAAGCACAAACTCTGTAGCTCTAGTGAAATATCCCCTGAAAGGATCGTATTGTATGATAACAATTATCAAAAAGGTTATTATGAACACAAATCTACGGTAGAATTCAGGCATTCTGTGTAACATTTCTTGAATCTAACAATTCCTGTATCTTTGACTCAACACTGCCTGTATCCGTTACATCTCCTGCATCCACGACTGAACATTTCCTGTATCTGTGACACTGCCTGTGTGCATGACTCAACCATTCCTGTTTCTGTGACCCACATAACTTACCTGCGATCGAGCTGCTGCCTTTGTTCAGAGCTGAGTGTTCGCCTCTGCACAGCAGGCAAGCCAATTTGGGGTCGTTGCCAGGTTGTTGTTCGGTTCACATGGTCAATGTAAAATATACGCCCATGACTGTCTACTCTCGCCTCCCATCCTAAAACAAAGGGATGAATGTTTCATTCATAAATGTGCAAGAGGCGGACAATGTGTGGTGTACAGACAACATTAATGCCTCCCTAAGAAGCATGGCATAAGAGTCAACTAATTAGGGGTTTCCTTTAAAATCGGACTGTATCTGCCTCCGAGGCAAGAAACCAACAGTCCACACACAACAACCCAGATCCGAAAAATGGATGTGCAAGCAAAACTCAAGTTCTGGAATAAGATTAAAGTCCAGAAGAAGGCAAACATCAAGAACATTCCGCCAGTGTTTACAGCCAGTGAACATGAAGAAGAAGAATAGTTAGTTTGTTATTTCCAGTGTCAACTTTGTGGCAAACAGGTCATAAACAGATGCCCTTAAAACTGCCTGCACGTTAAATGTTTGACCTTAAATTTTACGAGTGAAACTGACTTCATAAAATTCACACTAAGACAATTTCTCTCACTGGTCTAAGAAAATAGTCTTTCTGAAACAAGGTTTGCTGCAACAGCTAAGAAGAACCGCTATATTCATTATTACAGTATAGCTTTCAGCATATCGCACCACTTTGTTTTACACCTGATTTTTATAAGTGGACAAAAATTTCTCCAGACTGCAGTATTGATTACAGTAGTCTGAGTCATCTATGAGAACATCGTTGTCACTCTTCAAGTCTGGAAGCACACACAGTCTGCTGCAGGCAGAAGCTGGTGAAATAGACATATTACCAACTTTTATAAAAAAGAACAGCACATGAATGTATTAATGTTTTGTTTGCTTTATGAATCTTAGTTGTCTTTACCCCCAAAGACTGTAGACTCTTTTGAGTGCCAAGTTAGAAAATAACATTTTTCACAATAACCATGCAGTTACCACATGATGATGCTGACAGATTTGATCTGTCTTGTGTAAAATTGGGGAAACGTCTAAAAATGTCCAAAATTGTCTGTGACCGCTCAAATTTACTCATGAAAAGGATATGTCCGCAAAAAAATTAGGATATCTGGCTAATGTTCACATTTATCACTGACACACATTTTACTGTACTAGAAAAAAAAAAAAGAAATTAACAAAAACTAACGCAAAAACTATAAACAATGACAAACCTGAAGGCAAGGCATCATCTCTGTCATCAACTCTATGATACTTGACAGGCCTTTTGTTTGATACCTCACTGCCATCGACACCTGTGATTGAGATACATGACATGGCTGGTCACAGCATAAACTGGTCAGAGAAACTGGATGTAGAAAGTCTACATGTTTTGGACATATAATTATGAATAATCTTAAAACTTGGTAATCAGGTCATCGCAGCTCCAACTACACAGCAAACAGGTCACCCTGTAGTTGCTTCATTCCTGTGCCAATCAAAACCACACAGAATCATCCATCATTGTCCCATGTGGACAACAAAATTTGAATAGTCTCAGAAAATAGCCTACACGTGTATTAAATTATAAGGCAGCCATAAGAAGTGCCAACACAAATAATCCAACACTAGAAATGCATTACATCGGTGATGGAAGCAGATGTTACAACAGATCAGTAGTTGCACATGTAATTAATCACGTAAGGCACCACCAGTTTTCTGGCAACAGGCCACTCATCATTTTCTGAATCTGTAGTTCACAACACAAACCATGTTGGTCAGTCAAAAAAGCATTCCAAATTAAATTCACAGCTCACAGGAATTCTTTATAATGATTAATGATCAGCACTTTAACGTGTACTAAATGTTGCCTGTGAAAGTTCATGAAGATGGAACAAAGTTGTCACCAGTTTTAAGTCATACAGGTGTTAATAATTCAAACTGTCAAGAGTTCTGCAACAACTAATTTCATCAATCATTTTATTCTAGAGTGAAAAACTCCAATCACCAGGGTTCATCTACAACTGGTATCACCAGTCATTACTCAAGAATTGACAACTCCAATCACCAGGGTTTGTCTACAACTGGTATCACCAGTCATTACTCAAGAATTGACACCAGGGTTTGTTTACAACTGATATCACTAGTCATGTCTCAAGAATTGACAACTCCAATCACCAGGGTTCATCTACCACTGGTATCACCACTCATGTCTCAAGAATTGACAACTCCAATCACCAGGATTAATCTACAACTGGTATCACCACTCATGTCTCAAGAATTGACAACTCCAATCACCAGGGTTAATCTACAACTGGTATCACCACTCATGTCTCAAGAATTGACAACTCCAATCACCAGGGTTAATCTACAACTGGTATCACCACTCATGTCTCAAGAATTGACAACTCCAATCACCAGGGTTTGTCTACAACTGGTATCACCACTCATGTCTCAAGAATTGACAACTCCAATCACCAGGGTTCTTCTACAACTGGTATCACCACTCATGTCTCAAGAATTGACAACTCCAATCACCAGGGTTTGTCTACAACTGATATCACCAGTCATGTCTCAAGAATTGACAACTCAGATTGCCAGGGCTTGTTTTTCTATAGCATTTGTTCTTAGGCTGTGAGATCTGTGCCTTTCATCTCGATTTCAGCAAGCCCTTAATTAGTCATCTTTAATAACATGTTTGTTAAAGGAAAATGGCTTTATTCTTGATAAAACAATGCCTTTGAACATGTTCAGGAAAAGAGGTTATTTAAAAACACCACTGAAATATTGCTTTAGTATAGAGTTCTTAAAGTTTGCAATGATGTCATGCAAGAATTAACAATTCCATTCCAACCTACTTCTTCTTCTCTAGTTCTGTTCTGTCTTTCAGTGTCAAGTTTTCACCTCGGTATGTGCTAAGTAAACACTTTTATTAATGGCCTTGGATATACCATCTATCCATCACTTGCATGGTCAACCTCTAGGTCTGCTTTCATTATGTCCAAATGACAGGGCTCTTGCTAGTGCACTATCTGGTAGTAGTCTTGACACATGTCCGAACCATTTTATCTGTTGTCTTTTTGTTTAGTTTAGTAGTGGTTCCATCCCAATTTCTATCCTGATATTGTCATTTCTGATTCTGTCTCTTCGAGTTACATTTAGGATTCACTGCAGATATTTCATTTCTTTTGTTTAGAATGTTCTTGCTTTTGTTGTTAAATGTCCACATGTGGCACTGCCAACACAATGTTGGTAAAAAATACCACTTAATAGTGTGTTCTTTTAGTGTAAATTGTTACACATATGTTCTGCAAAACTGGAGACATCTGTCCAATGACTTGATTTCATTTGCAACTAAAACAACTAGGGTTTAACAACTAGCATAACAAATCTATTTTCTGTTCCACTGACTCATTACTAGCCTTCTTTCACTGCACACATGACTTATCTTCGGCCTACTCATCATTTTGGTCAGATAATATTATTGAATAGTTCCCACGTTTACATAAGCTCCACAATGATGGCAAATAACCCTCTCTTTCATTGTACACACAATTCTACTCCAATAATAATGCTTCCACTACTTTCAGAGCTAAGCCACAGGACTGTTTCTTCTCAAACTAAAAATATATATTTCACCTGCAGATTACATTTTTACGGCAATGAATAATAATTTCCTATCACCTTCCAGCTGTCTTTATCTTCCTGGTGTATGTGTGCTCATAGTTCTTTTAAGAAGTTAAACCTGTCGGCATTACACACTTTGCAGGAAAGTATATTTTATCAGATATGGACAGTGTGCCTACAACAGGGGTGAAAAGCAATACTGTAACACTTTAATGTCTATGGCTTAGGGGTTACAAACATGGTGTGTAATTCCAAAATACAGTGTTCAATCAACTACAAACGATTTGGCAGCAAACTGCTTTATGTTGACTTCAACAATGGTATGGAGAGCTGATCACTCAGAAAGCAATGATAAACTAGTGAATGTAAAATTGCTTAGTAAAACCACAAACAAAGAAGTTCTGGGGAGGGTCTGCAATCAGCTGTAAAGGATGGGTAAGTAAACACATTTTTTTTTTAAAAACCTCCAACTGATAGTTGATCAAGGCATGGTATATATGGAAAAAGTGGCTCTATCTGTACAACATGCAGCGTTTCTCAAAATCACTTTCATTTCTGTCCTATGGTATGCTGGTGTGAAAGGAAAGGAGAGAGCAGACACCCTGGCTGGTATTGTGACTATCAGGAATGGGTCATCTATGGACAGGAGAGATATCATCCATGCCATACGAGAGACTAAACGATGTGAGGCTTTCAGTTTTGCGGAAAATGACTTTTCACTGAATAGACTGTATACCCTGGGTGTACCAACTGGAGCAGAGAGACAGGAAAACCATGGAGCCACCTCTCGTTACATCAACCAGAAAAGAATGAGAGTTGTTAGCCTAAAAACATTGAAGACATACTCAGGAGGAGATCGGAGCACCTATGGTCATGTCTGATGTACGATGAAGATGACCTTTTAATGAATTTTTAACAAAAGTGATAGCTGAAGGTAAAGAAGAACTGAAGAGAGTTTTAATTCTTAAGTTTAATGTTTTGAATTTCAGGCTTTTGAAATGTGACCATTTCTGCATCTATTTGAATGAGGATGGTGTAGAGACTGTTCTCCCAACCAAAGAGATGTATCTCTGGACCGCAGAGTTCTCCTGCTCTACAACCTCAGAATCCAGCAGGATGTGCAAACCTCTACTGGAAATACATCTGTAGAGAGGTGTTCAGCATGCAATCATAATCCACAGTGTGCTAAACTTGTAGAACAGGAAGCCATTCCAGAACAGAATTAAATGGAAGCCCTGTGTGACACATAACGGCACAAAGGATAATGATGTTTATTATATATTAACTGGTTTATATTAGGCCCATACTGTTAATTTTTGTTCCAAAAGTTAGATGTATTTCATTGTCAATGTATTTCCCCGCAATGTCAAGAGGAAACAAAGAAGAAGAAAGCACAACAAATCCTGGATTGAGAACATTTAAACAAAAACAAAAGAGAGAGAGAGAGAGAGAGACAAACTACATTACTCCTGCACTTATGTGTATTGCTGAGGATAAAGACTAAGGAGCATCCGGCATGTTGACGTTTCCATGAAGACACCTTTACAACCCTAAACTGTGGGTTAGTTAGGATCTTCTTTAGAATTGTGTGCCCTTGAGGTTAATTTCTGCAGACATTACCCACCTCCATTCATCACTATGACAACCCTCTCTTTCCAGTTAGTGACTCAAAGTGTTTGTAGCTCTACCTGAATATTTTCTATTCACCTTCTTGGTCTGCCTCATGGTCTACTCCCATTGAACCAATTTGTGCAAAAATTGTTAACTCTATGTCCAGGACAAGAAGATGAGAAATATTGGCATCTTAAAAGATCTGAACATCAAGGAAGATTGGCTAATAAACAGCATCCTTTCTCGAAAGCTGAAATATTTTGGTCATATCAAGCGCCACGACGGATTGGAAAAAATTATAGCAGAAGGCATGGTACCAGGAAGGAGGGGCACGAAGATGGGCACAGGATATAAGTGACTCCTTGAGTGTGAAAGTTCATGAGGCGGGAAACTGGCAAGAGACCGAGTTTCTTACAGGCAGACTGTGATGAGAGCGACGTTCTACAAAGGACCTGCTACATGATGATGTCCAGGACTCATAACCAAACTCATCAACATTTTTCAAGAGGTTTTTAAGGTTTTTTCAGTATTATTTTCACCATGTTTTTACCAGGCATATGGGGTAATTCTGTTGAATAAGGTACTTCCAACACACACCCGAAAAAAGCCTGGAAATAACTGCAATATATTGTATTTAATACTTAAATTCATAAAGGAAAACAATTTCTGTGACTGCCCCTATTTGACTAATATATAATATACAGCAAAGTATGCCAGACACTAAATTGTGCAATATAAACACTAAACTACTTCAAGTCACAAACCAAGAAACTTTAGACAGTATGATAACCAAGAGAAGATGGAAATGGCTTGGTCACATTATGAGAATGAATCCTGATATACCCGCCAAAACAGCTCTCACATGGACACCAGAGGAAAAGAGAAAACAGGGGCGCCCAAAAACAACATGAAGACGAACGATGGAAAGTGACCTGAGTGCTGCATCTTTGACATGGAAAACTGCACTGAAGATTGCACAGGACAGGAAAGCATGGAAAATCCTCTCTGAAGCCTCATGTGCCACTAGGCATAACGAGAACTGATGATGAAAGTATGCCAGACACTAAATTGTGCAATATACCTTTTATTTTTTCGTTATTTTTTTTTTTTTTTTTAAACTGAAAATATTGTAAAACTTGTACTTACTTATTGTCCTTCTATCAGCAGATCGCTCTCTTGCAGTTGAAGTCGAAGACGAAGATGTGGAACCGTTTAAAGATGAGGGTGCCTGAGACTGTGCAACACTTCTGCCAGCTGAGTGTGGATGACCATCTGTACTGTCTGCCTGTCTTTGAGGTACCCCATTTGGCGGAAATGTTGAGGCTGGTACCAGCTGAGGCGAGGCGTGTTCATAAGGTGGTGGAGATGGCTGATCATTAGGTGTAGATATACTAGATGGATTACACGTCTGTCTGGATCGAGTCCACTGCTCTAAATGCTGGCTGATCTGCTGTCGGTTCAGATGGCGCTCTTCTGTAGACAACTGTCGTTGTCGTGGGAACAGACGTGGCGGTTGCGAACCAGTTAACTGGACTATGCCATCAACACTTCGCCGTTTTAGATAGCATGAATCAGGCTGACCTACAAGTGTCAAGACTGGAGGTTCACTGACCGTTGAAAGAGCTAGACTACCACGCGAGCCTGGTAAAATGTCTACCCCAGACCGAGACGGTGCCTTGTGTCCGCTATGTCCTAACTGCAGTTCTGCCAGATTAGTTTCAGTTACTGGCAACAGTGTTGAACTTGCTGCAGTGACCAAAGCTTGCTGGTTATTTTCATGAAAAGTTGCAGCAGACACATTACTTGAAGGAGCTGAGGCATCTGGCTGCAAAGATTTAGAATGGGTGCCAGAAAGATTTGAAGTGGCAGGACCTGCTGGAGTACCCCATGGAAAAAGTTCTTGTTCTCGCGAAGAGCAAATGTCAGACGAAGCAGATGCTGCTGTGCCCACCCCATCTACAATTTCTTCACGAAACTCTACTGGACTGTATGTTCGGGGTGGGAGTGGTGGAGGCGGTTCCAGTGCTGATCGTGAATGTTCAGTGCCTTTGTGTTTAGGTTTTTCTATTGCCTGCCTGGGTGGGATCGGAGGTGCCGATGCTTTATTTATCCTAGGGGGTACAGGTGGGGCAGCAGCTTTATATGTTCTTGGAGGAAGTGTGGGTGCATCAATCCGAAGACCTGACAAGGAATATTCAAGTCCAGCAGACTGCACGGACATGTCCAAATCACTCAGGTGTGAATGACTACCCACAGTGTCACCACATGCTATCTGTCCATTTGCTATGGCAGGAATAATGGCGTCTGTTTTATCACAATTGTGCTGAACTGATGACGGCTGCAAAGTTTGAGTGAGAGACTGGGAAGTCTCAGAAGCTTCTAAATGTGAAGGTTTGTAAACACTCTGTACAACAGTTCCTGAAGGAATGGATCCACCAGAATTTTCACAACTGGATATCACTGAGACTGATGTCCCCGAATCAGAACTATCCAATGGAGTCTCTGGATTTGAAGTCAAATGTCCTTCACTATTCAGCGAGGTAGAATCAGGCTCGCTGAAGACAGTTGCTGAGCCAGAAGTTAGCTTGCTATTGGAAGCGGCCTTCTTGGTATGGGTTTTATGAATGCTGTCTGCTGGTGATCCCAGGTCACTGTCTTCCTGCTCCTCACTGATAACCCCACGAGGCGACAACAAATTTAATGCTTCTGTCACTGCCAATCCTGGGTCTGTATGTCTGTGACGGATCTGTGAAGGTCGTGGAGCACTATCTTCCACCCAGGTCAATGTGCTGGGAAGGGAAGCTTGGCGCTGGAGTCCACCATTGACTTTAGAAGTACTGGCATCGTTACTCAGGGCTGAGAATAACAAAAAATATTCAATTTACCACAGTAACAACATATTATATTAACAAGTTCTATAAACTGGTGACTGCACATACACAGAAAGTGGTATTTACCAACATTTTATACATAAATACAAAGCTATAAAATCCACATAAAAAGCAGCTTTATGTATTCTCGGTTGAAGTAAACATGCACCAATCCTGAGGTCTGAAAGTGAATATTCAAGACGAGCTGATCATATTCATATGCTCAAACCAAATCACTGAGATGTGACTAACCATACACAGACCAACTCATCACTGACTATCTGTAAATTACCTATAACAGGAACAATGGTGTCTGTTTTATCATGATCTTGCTGATGCATTATGAACTGTTAGTCAGAAATGTGCACACAAAGTGTTCTGCATAGGCTTCCTGTCTCAGCCATGAAAAAGGACTGCAGTTGTGCTGTTCTGAACAAATTAATTCAATGAACAATGTCTCGGAAGGTCAACGAATGGGGAAGGAAAAACATCACAGAAACACCTGAATATTTCAACCAAAGCCTTCTTCGGCTTTGACCTCTGTGGGAGCGGTGTCTAGAGTTCTTGTTCTTGTTGATATAGGCTTCGGCTGAAAAGTTTTACTGCTTCTGTAGTTTCAAACTTAATTGTTTCTCTATTGCCAAATTGACTGGTCCTGTAGTGCCACACTAATTGTTTCTGTAGTCCCAAATCAACTGTTTCTGAAGTGACAAACTGACTGCTTCTGCAGTACCAAATTTACTGTCTCTGTAGTGCAAAATTTACTGTTTTTGTAGTGCCAACTCAATTGTTTTCTGCAGTGACACAATAACGGTTTCTGCAGTGACACAATAAGGGTTTCTGCAGTGCCACAATGACGCTTTCTGCAGTGCCACAATGACGCTTTCTGCAGTGACACAATGACGGTTTCTGCAGCGCCAAACTGACTGTTTCTGTGGTGACACAATGACGGTTTCTGCAGTGCCACAATGACGGTTTCTGTAGTGCCACAATGACGGTTTCTGCAGTGACACAATGACGGTTTCTGCAGTGCCACAATGACGGTTTCTGCAGTGCCACAATGACGGTTTCTGCAATGACACAATGACGGTTTCTGTAGTGCCACAATGACGGTTTCTGCAGTGACACAATGACGGTTTCTGCAGCGCCAAACTGACTGTTTCTGTAGTGCCACAATGACGGTTTCTGCAGTGACACAATGACGGTTTCTGTAGTGACACAATGACGGTTTCTGCAATGACACAATGACGGTTTCTGTAGTGCCACAATGACGGTTTCTGCAGTGACACAATGACGGTTTCTGCAGTGACACAATGACGGTTTCTGCAGCGCCAAACTGACTGTTTCTGTAGTGCCAAACTAATTGTTTCTGTGGTGTCAAACTGATTGTTTCTGTAGTGTCAAATCGACTGTTTCTGTAGTGTCAAACTGACTGCTTCTGTAGTGCAAAATTTACCGTTTCTGTAGTGCCAACTCAATTGTTTTCTGCAGTGCCACAATGACGGTTTATTTACCGTTTCTGTAGTGCCAACTCAATTGTTTTCTGCAGTGCCACAATGATGGTTTCTGCAGTGCCACAATGACGGTTTCTGCAGTGCCACAATGATGGTTTCTGCAGTACCACAATGATGGTTTCTGCAGTGCCACAATGATGGTTTCTGCAGTGCCACAATGACGGTTTCTGCAGTACCACAATGAAGGTTTCTGCAGTACCACAATGACAGTTTCTGCAGTGCCACAATGACAGTTTCTGTAGTACCACAATGACAGTTTCTGCCTACCCAAATCAATTGTTTCTTTAGTGCCAAATAATTGTTTCTGCAGTGCCAAATCGATCATTTCTGTAGTTCAGAACTGACTGTTTCTGGAGTGCCAAATTGATCCATTTCTGTAGTGCCAAAAAATTGTTTCTGTAGTGCCAAAATTAATGTCTTTTTAGTGCTTAATTGATTGTATCTGTAGGGCCACACTGACTGTTTCTATAGTGCCAAATCAAATGTTTCTATAGTGCCCAACTTAACGTTTCTGTAGTGCTTAATCTATTGTTCTTGTAGTGCCAAAATGATAGTTTCTGTAGTGCCACACTGATTGTTTCTGTTGTGCCAAATCAATTCTTTTTGTAATGCCAAACCGATTGTTTCTGTAGTGCCAAATGAATTGTTTCTGTAGTGCCAAACTGACTGCTTCTGCAGTGTCAAATTTACTGTCTCTGTAGTGCAAAATCTACTCAAAAGAGATAAAAGCCAGAGTACAGAAGGCAAATGCTGTCACCTACCAGTTAGCCCCACTGCTTAGACACCCAAACATCTACCTTCCAGCAAAACAGCAAATGACTGATAGTATCTTGATCCCTACTTTATGTTATCAGTGCCAAATATGGACAATGAATAGGGCACTAGAACAAAAAATAACTGCATGTGAAATGCACTATCTCTGCAAGGTCACTAACCACACTATACAGGATAGGGTTACGAATACCAGCATAAGAGAGAAAGTTGGAAAAAGACCATGCTAGGATTATATTGTCTGTCAATACAGGCCTGCTTACTATCAAGCAATGATGGCTGATCGGTTTGGTGTCTCCAGTTCATGTTGATTCCAAAGCTACTATGGCTGCTGCTCGTGTACGAAGTAAGCATGACTGCAGCGGAGACTATGGAGAAAAAAGTCAACACAGCCATGCCGAAGTGGGTATGTCTGTTCAAATCAGTCAATAACAGAAGAGTTTAAAGTCTGCAAGATATGACTTGCAAAGATTTTACGCGAGTCTTAAGACCATACAGTGGCCACTCGATAGTGCAAAACATTGGCCAAAGAACACAGAGACATGGTAATGCAGCAGATAAGGGACACCGTAAACAAAACTCTGGTCCAAAAAGACGTGTAGCAAGGCCAGTGGATCAGCCTCGAGAGCGCCTTGCCACGAATACTCACATGAGGTGAGATCTGGAGAATGGCCCCGCTGCAGCTGAGCTTTGTCGAAAGGTCTGCTTATGATGTGTTTACCCTCTGGCGCCAATAGGGTGAAGTAGCATGGGACCACCGACCCGACATATCCTCTATGCAGAGCAAAAAAGATGCTCGAGCATGTATTGTCCACGTGCAGAAAAGCCCTAGGCCAGGGACAAAATACCTGGCGCCACAACAATGTCCTGAAATTGCTATGCGGACAATGTGGACCAAGCCAGGATGCGGACCAACGCAAAGGCCAGTCCCCCCCCCCCCCCCCCCCCAAGGCTGTGTAGGTTTCTCATGGCAAATTCAATAAAGTCGCATATGCTTCATCAATACAAGACTGTGTGTAGGACTGGTTACTGGCGGTAGATCTGCCTGGTTTCCAAAAGTTTCCAGAATCAGTCCGAAAAACCAGCCTGAGACCAGACATGCTCCTGCACTCTGCAGAGAAATGTCAGCTCATCCTGACGCTGTGTCGTACTAGTCACGGACGGAGGAAAATCACTTGTACAAGCTGGTGGCCGGTCTGAGGAGAGATGAAGCGTACAGAGTAAACCTCTTTGCCATCGAGGTAGGTGCAAAAGGAGGACAACACTTCAACATACAATGTCAAAGTCCCCAGTGGAAAAGAGCTGTACATCCCTTAAAGCCAAAGTGCCCAATAAATGTCTGGCAGCGTCTCTCAGCCAACTGCTAAAGTCTAACGCCTGTCCGATGAACCAACTGCTAGCTTGTCACTCTGGTCGTAAAGGTGGGTGGCTAATTTGCTACCGCAGCGACAAAATATCACCAAATCTCACAGTACCTATTGCAAAGTCAGCATTTTGTATTGTCCTGTCCAAACCTCCAAAGTGCAGCAGTGGATGTCCGAGGCCTCACTTTATGACCCAGGTCGGTCCACCTTCCAACACTGTCTAGGGAGATAATAGGCAGAAACAATCGTCGACGAGGAACCTTTCTACTGATGATTGGTGGACCCCTGCTGTGCATGCTGCCCTGTGGAGTTCTTATTATTATTTGTTCCCCGAAGTGGAGCCCCAGAACCTACACAAAGATAACTCAGAAACTAAAATACTTCAGCCACATAAAACAACATAGCCCAGGAAGTAGAGGCAGAAGTCAACCAGTAAAAAAACACATTAAAGACCTCTTATGCAAGAATATAAATCAAGCTGAGAAAATGTCAAAAGGTCTCTCTGGTTGGTCAAGATGAAAGTGATGCTGTTATACCTATTTTGGTCCGTTTTACTCAGGCAACAATTAATGAATCTTTGTAGTTAACTAGTAATCGATGGCTCATACTAACAACAAATCACTTACGTTGCAACAGAAGGTAGATGTTTGCTTTGAATCCAACCTCACCACTAACATTATCAGAAGGGCCTTTTCTCAACAGCTCAAGTCTGAAGTCAACAGGTCTTTGGAGTGAGAGAAACAAATAATTTATTGAGTAAATGAGTCTTAATCTAAAGTGGTTAAACACAGTCTTATCTGTGGTTTAACTAAAGAATCCTCTTCATCTTTTGCTTTCATCCTTAAAAAGGCAGCCGGCCTGCTGTGTTGTGGTTTACAGCTAGGCTTTGGAAGCCTATGTTAAATGGTTGTTTTAAGGATTTTTCTGTAAATTCCCAAAATATAGGTTACTAGTTTGTGTTTTTGTGTGTGGTGGTGTGTATGTGTGTGTGTGTGTGTGGGGGGGGGGGGGGGGGGGGGGGGGGGGTTCTAAGAAAAAGGTTCAAATTAATAATCAGTAAACATATTACAATTTTAAACAAAATCTGACAATGACTAACCCCCACCCCATCTCTCACGCACAGACACGAACAAAAAGATAATTCTGGGGCTTTGACACAAATATCTTCTTTTTCCTTCATTCTTAACCCTCTTATCCAAGAAAGATTTTTTACAAAATGGTCATGACCCGGTAGATCACTAATAAAATCATTAAAAATGCTTTATCTGCAGTTCTAATTTTTTCAAAAAATATATTGATATATTATCTGAACTGAGTAATCAATAAACATGAACAGGGTGAAGCATTAAATGGAATACACCCCCCCCCCCCCCCCATCATTCCACTATGCAGCCCCAGAACCCATATGTGGAACCTAGGACCCATTTCATCAATAACTGTCACAGAGATTCTCATGGATATCCTGGTTTCCGTCAGTTCATTTATGTCCTACTTCAGCTCCTATTCTTTGACTTGCTTTATCTGAAATATTGCCATCACCTTTCTTCTTCTTCTTCTTCTTTCGTTCGCCTGAAATAAGTTGTCTATATCAGCAGTTTTGTCTCTTGTATAAATTTCACTGTCATTGTTAGTTCATTCAGTGGTCCATAGAGTTTACGTTTCACTGTTGTTCTTTCTGGCCAAAATATTTGCCTTAATGTGTCAAAATCGGTGCAGTCCTGGAGTACATGCTCTGCTGTCTGGGGCACATTTCCACAGGTGCACATGGCTGATACACCTATCTTGAATTTTATGTACATGTGGTTACGTAATCGGTTGTGCCCTGTTCTGAGGCGGAGGATAATGACTTGTTCTGGTCTCTCCATAATAAAATAGTCGTCTTGTGCTGGGGCTGATGGTTTCCTGATCGATTTAATGATTCTTTTCTTTTGGTGGTATGTGACTGGTACATCCGGCTGCTCTTTTGTCGCACCTTCCCCTGCCAGTTGATCAGCTTTCTCATTTCCAGGCACTCCACAATGAGACGGTATCCACTGCATTACGACTCTACACTGAACACTGAGTTGTGTCAGCAGTGTTTGCAATTGTGGTAGTTTCCTATACTGGAGTGCTTCAAGTACTGATTTAGCATCTGTCAGCATTACCACATACTGTGAGCCAAGGTTGGTATTTAGCAGTTTCTCTGTAGCTATCTTGAAAGCCTGGGTTTCTGCATCGTAGTTATGGCAGTACTTCCCGGTTGGTACGCTGGACTTATCCCTAGTACCATCTGGGAATTCGATGTACACTCCAGCCCCACCATTTCTAACTGCACTTTCTGCGGACCCATCTGTATAGACTCTGACCCATTGTTCTTGTGGGTATTCTTCATCAATATAACTGAGGGTGGCCATTCTGCGTTGTACACTAACTTGCTCTTTCTTGTCAAATATCTTTCACATTTGTCTGGATTATCATCTTTCTTTTATTACAGTCGATGCTAGTGTTTGTTCACGCATTTCAGACCTATTTGTCTTCTCTCATCCCATGTAATTTTCAAACTGTCTATTTCAAATATAATTACTCTCTATATCCTAAATAATGAAATCACAAGTAGCATATAATTAAGTTTTCAACAGCCTCACTTTTGTTGTGCAGTGCTTATGCGGTCAACAATATTCTGAACTGGAATAGTAGCATGACCAAGGAATCTTGACATCATGGGTTTACTTTTGCTGAATTTGTGTTTCACCTCAATGTCCAACAGGTCTGTTACTAGAACTTCAAGTTTGAATTTCTGAGGAGTGAGATGAAGGAGAAAAAGAAATGTGAAAACGATTACACATGCAACCAAAACAAATAATGTTAGCGACCGCAATGTCCAACAGACCCATTACTCTAACTTCAAGTATAAATTTCTGATAAATGATATCAGAAGAAAATGTGACAAGTTGTTAAACATGTAAGCAAAGAAAATGTTGATCATCATCATTAGGAATCAGGTGCCTCGCACAACACTGCTTTCTTCCTGGCATGCTGAGGGGCTAACTGGACCCTTGCCAACTTTCCCCCCAAATGAACATTCATGCCTAGTGTGACATAAACTTTCATGCCTGGTGTGACATAAACTTTCATGCCTGGTGTGACATAAACTTTCATTTCCAGTGTGACATAAACTTTCATGCCTAGTGTGACATAAGCTTTCATGCCTAGTGTGACATAAGCTTTCATGCCTAGTGTGACAAAAACTTTCATGCCTAGTGTGACATAAACTTTCATGCCTAGTGTGACATAAACTTTCATGCCTAGTCTGACAGAAACTTTCATGCCTAGTGTGAAAAAAATGTTCATGCCTGGTGGGACATAAACTTCCATGCCTAGTGTGACATAAACTTTCATGCCTAGTGTGACATAAGCTTTCATGCCTAGTGTGACAAAAACTGTCATGCCTAGTGTGACATAAACTTTCATGCCTAGTGTGACATAAACTTTCATGTCGAGTGTGACAATGTAAATAATGTCAGCAATATAAAAGTTAAAGCCAAAAGGATGGACTTCACTGCACCCAGCTTTATTCCCATATGGCTCTACCTCTCTCGACAGAATGGCTAGCTGCCTGCCAAGAGCATCATACAAAGCGCAAGCTCTGTATCTCCAGTGAAATCCTCAAGGATCTCTGTAAAAACTGCACCCGTGAATTTAATGACATGTCCATTAAATGAACACACAATCTTTAGAGCCTGAGTCACTTAGCTGTGGAGAATATTTAAAGGAAAAAAAACTGGAAAAAATAAAACAGATCACCAACACACATGTTGCAGTAAGCATAAGACCTATTTCTACGGATGTGAGGCAAACCAGATATACGGTGCTAAGCCCATGTTTGCACAGACCAAGTGCACTCAATAAATGATCAAGCTGGCCACATTTATTTCCAAGAACAATTCCTGATAGTCAATTTACAGGGGAAATTACTAGAAGTCCAAGTCCACGTGAAAAAATCCCAGCCCTTACCGGGGATTAAACCCGGAACCTCTATCACTTGAAGCGGACACCATGGGAGATGATGAAATGATAACTATGCTAAGTAACAAATAATCCAGCTAATAATGCACAGTATTGAGTCAATACTTTTTAAAATCTATATTTATAGCTCTGCCAAAGAAACCAGGCACTTTAAAATGTGAAGACCATTGCACATCTTATGTCACATGACTAAAATGTTACTGAGAATAATTATGAGAAGAGTGAGTAACAAACAAAATTAAATCAGAAATAAGCGATGAACAATGTTGATTTGCAAAAGGAAAAAGTACAAGCAATACCATATACATCCTAAGGACATTGTCAGAAAGAGCTATAGAAGTAAAGACTGATTTGTATTTATGCTTCATAGACTATACAAAAGCATTTGACTGTGTGAAGCATGAAGAAGTAATCAAACTGTTAGACAAATTAAACATTGATGGGTAAGATCTACGAATAATAAAGAATATATTTTGGCAGCAAACAGCAGCTAGAAGAATTAACAACTGTTTAGGTACATTTCAGTGCATAAAGAGAGGCGTAGGACAAGGATGTGTACTGTCACCTGATTTATTTTCACTAAACAGTGAATATATAATGAGATCTTTGATATGCTCGGAATGGTGGTATCAAAGAAAACTATTAATCCTATATGTGTAATAAAAGTCAATGGTGTTGTTTTGGGACAAGTACAGAAATGTAAGTATCTGGGCACATGGATAACATCAGATGGAAGAGATATTCTGGGATAAGAAACAGAACAATAGGGCAAAAAATACATTTTATAAAATGAAGAATATCTTATGCAATATATCTCTGTCATTGAAGGTTTGAAAAAAGAATTCTTGCTTGCTACATACATCCAGTTTTACATACGGTTTGAGTCATGGACAATTGGTAGACAGGCCAAACAATTTCCTAAAGCCTCAGAGATGTGGTTTTACAGAAGAAAACTAAAAATACCTTGGACAGCCAAAAAGAGCAACTAAGAGGTTTTCAAAGAGGCAGGAGCCCAAAGACAACTTATCACAGACATCAGAAGGAGACAGTCATCATTTTTCAGCCATGTTATGAGAAGAGGGAAATGTAACATGTTGTGACCACTGGAAAGATCTGTGGAAGGAGGGACAGAGGATGAAAACGAGAGAAAATTCTTGACCGTCTTGTTGCATGGCATGGAGGTGTGTCAGCATGATACTGATACATGCTGCAGGGGATCTCAGATTATTGAGAGGCATGATCACCCACACCAGAGAGCAAAGCACATGATGATGATAATGATGATGAATGAGTCAATGACTGAAAGTAACCACAACATGCTCACGTTACTTACTTCAGATGGCCAAGATGGATTGGCTGTGTTGAAGGCAACACTGGACCGGTATTCCCGATAATGATGCTTTTGTATACAATCTCTCTGGCTATGGGGTAGTACTTGAAACTTGACATAGGGGTCAGAGTTGAAAATCATGCCCTTTTTCAAATTCGAAGCATACAAGTCTGTAACAGTTTAAAAAGATAGATAACTGCTCTTATCACAAGCATTAGTCATCATTTTTGGTCACATTATGAGAAGACATGGGCATTTGTTTTTGTAGCAAGCAAAACTAAAGAGGAGCGGCTGGCCGAGCGGTTACAACGCTGGACTCTGCTGGAGACCTGAGTTCGACCCCCAGTAAGGCGACTGAGTTTTTTTTGTCGAGGGCGAAATTCAAAATCCTAATCTGCACAGTCCATGGCCCCAGCACTGGCCAGGCGGCTCCAAATCCTTAGGCTTAAGACCCCCTGTCTACACCGCCCTAAAGAGTGTTAATACAGACAGTAGTGACAGTACTAGCTATGCAACCTTAAATCCTCAGTCTTAATAAGACCTCCCTGTCTTCAACTGCGTGTTCATTATTAATTTAATTTGTATGAGAAGACAGCAACTGGCAAATGTGACAACTTTGGTCTTGTTTCAGAACTTGATTTAGTGTGCACATTTATTTTAGAGATCTGGCTTATGCAGACTGTTGATTCCTGACCTCTCTGGCAGATGCACACTGACTTTGAATAAAACAGCCCTAATCACCTTGTATCACATTATGACATGCTTGTTAGGTGGCAGTGAATTTATTCCTTTTTCCCCCCACATGAGGAAGAATGTTGTTCAACTATGAAGACATCTTCCTTCTCGTACTATTTATACAATGTGTGCTTTGATTCCTCTTTTAACGAACGTTTGAATCTTTTTTTAACACCCACAGATTGTTATACTAGACATGTGACCCCATGATGATACATCTATTTACCATTATTATTGTCTCAATATCATTTGTTTGCTTAGACAAATAATAAGGTGATATCTCTATGTTCCATTATGTATTTGTTTTGTATGAGCTTACAGATATTCTGAATCTTACTGATCTACCAAGCCATTTCAAGAAGGAAATCTAACTACATACTTATGATAAATGTGTTAATTCAGTAAAAATAACAGGAATACATTTGGTAATGCAATATTTACAAAACTTTGAAACCACACACAACAAACCTTGAATATCTAGATAACAGGAATAAATATAATTATGTTACAAACTTTAAAAGGCTGGATAAGTGATGTTATAAAAACTAAACAGTAAGAGAACAGAAACAAATGTGATATTACCAAACCTGAATGGTAAGATAAAACAGCAATAAATATCGTAATTTTGCAAACCTTAGACAGCAATCAATATTTCATATTAAAAACCTTGAATGGTGAGAAAACATAATTTATTTGTTAAATGGCGAAGCATACTGTGTAAGGTAAGAAAACAAGAATAAATATAGCAATATTACAAACCTTGAATAGTAAGACAATAAAGTGCATTATCATAAGCATTTCCATCACTGCTTGACACTTGAAATGGGGCCTGAAAAGATATGTTTCTAAACTTTTACATCAATCAAGGGAGTTTGTTCACAAAAATTGAACGTATTCTTGGTTTATACAACGGATCAACATTATGGCACAAGGGTCTAACCCATAAGTGCTCAGTTCTATTTCTAACTCAAGCCTGAGTCCAAATAATCTCAGCGAAGTGCACGAACTCTGTAGCACCGGTGAGGATCCTGATATACTCTGGGTAGGTTTTAACTAAAAATTTTGCTCGGGCAGCACCGTTAGGCTACTCTTTACGATTTCCAACTGCCAAGGAATTTTTTTTTTTTTTTAGTGTGCAAAAATCTTACTAACCAGAGATCAGGGAAAATTACTAGAAGTGCACGTGAAAAATTCCCAGCCTTCACAGGGGCCTGGACCTCGAGCACTCGAGGCAGACGCCATGTCTCAAGACCACTCATCACCCAAACTGTGATTACGGTGTTTTATCCTTGTCTAAGCCTTAATCATGTCATTTAAATTATTTATGTTGAATGTCCATTGTACTAAGGCATTTAACAATTTACAGAAGAGAGTCATGAGTTATAGCCCATAGGCTTGGTCCTGGCCATCTCTCTAAGTGCTGCAAAAAGCCTGATCTTCATAGCTTCAGGGATGAATCCCTATGGACCACTGAAAAAGCTGCATTTCTGAATTAATTACACACTGAAAATAATTGGACAACCTTAGACAATGAGGCAAAATATATTGTTAGATAATCTTCTGTTGTCCTTGTGGGGTTCACAATGACCCATGCTTGTAATGACTCTAGGTAGAGTAGGTTTTATGAACTGCCATATATTCTGTAAACTTGTTGCCTGTCTCTTAATCAACATGTTTAATCTATTGTGACTACATCATATTCCAAAAACCTTTTACATGTCTCAATAAACACATCTGATTTGTGGTGACTGCTACGACACACCTAATTTGCTGTGACCGCTCTATATTCTGTAAACTTATTTCTTTACAAACACACCTAATCTACTGTGACTGCTCTATATTCTGTAAACTTTTCATCTTTTTACAAACATATCTAATCTGCTGTGACTCAGCAGACTTAACAGAAAGCAACATACAAAAATGTTCCGTCTATGAACAGGACACTGCAGGCTACCACATGCATAAAATAAAGATTATACAGTCCCCACAGTGTGTCTGTCAAACAGTACCATAAACACCTTAGCACATTCTGCAGACCTGACCACTACCTACAACTTCAAAAAGACACCTGGCCTCAAGAGCAAAGTGTCCAGAGCAAGCAATGGGGAACCATGAAGGACCTGCTACTGGCATGCAAGTTTATAGAGGCAACCCACCTGATGGTCTGATTTGAGCATATGAAACCAAATGCAAAGAAGAAGAAGAAGAAGAAGAATAACAAAGGACAGAATGACTTGGCGTGGGTTGGCTGAGAGCTGTGCTCAATTGGGGAATAAAGGCCAGAAAAATAAAAATAAAAAAGAAGAAGAACCTGCTCCATGCCTGTCATCTTCTTGGATGATGCTAATACCGGGTGTTTCCAATAATTACAAGATGACCTTCTGAGAACTCTGTAAGTCTGATCATTCTTTTATTACACTCTCTTAGTCCATAACTACCTTCAGTGTACAATATTATTACTTTTCAACTTTAGCACAAAGTCTTTTTATAAATGTAATTTTAATTTTCAAGGCACATTTAAAAGGACATTTCAAGATGAGTAGATCAACTTAACTGCACCAAGTTTTATCCCATATGGCCCAGTCTTACCCGATAAATGCTTTGTATACAAAGTGTGAATTCAGCAGTTCCACTAATAATACCCTCATCATCATCATCAGGTGCCTTGCCAACTGGCGTGGGCGATCATGCTTCTCCATAATCTGCGATCTCCTGCAGCATGTATCCGTTCGTGTGCCAACACACCTCCATGCCATGCAACAAGACTGTCAAGCATTTTCTCTCGTTGTCTTCCTCTATCTCTCCTTCCACATATCTTTCCAGTGGTCACAAAATGTTCTGTTTTCACTCTTCTCATAACACAGCCGAAAAATGATGACTGTCTCCTTCTAATGTCTGTGATAAGTTGTCTTTAGGTCCCGCCTCTTTCAAAACCTCTTGGTTGCTCTTTTTGGCTGTCCAAGGTATTCTAAGCATTCTTCTGTAAAACCACATCTCTGAGGCATCCAGAAATTGTTTGGCCTGCCTACTGATTGTCCAGGATTCACAGCCATATGTTAAAACTGGATGTATGTAGCAAGCAAGAATTCTTTTTCGAACTCTCAATGACAAGGATATATTGCACAAGATGTTATTCATTTTATAAAATGCAGTTTATGCCTGTCCTATTCTATTTCTTATCTCAGTTATGCATCTTCCATCTGATGTTATCCATGTGCCCAGATACTTAAATTTCTGTACTTGTCCTCAAATAACACCATCAACTTTTATTACACACTTAGGAATAATTCGTTTCTTTGATACCACCATTACTTCTGTCTCTCCATTATTCAAACTGAGGCCCATTCTTCCACTTTCTAACACCACAATGTCTATCATTTCCTGTAGTTCTTTCTGACTTGTTCCTATCAAGACTGTGTCATCAGTATAACGTAAATTGTTTATATTGTGCCCACCAACCACAATTCCTGGCCTACCAATTAAAGCTATCATTATATATTCACTGTATATTGAAAACAAATCAGGTGACAGTACACATCCTTGTTGTACGCCCCTCTTTATGCTTTGAAATGTACCTAAACAGTTGTTAATTCTTATAGCTGCTGTTTGCTAAGACCGTAGGGTCTTTAAAAAAATCCATGAGTGAATTCCTCAGCACCATTCTGGGATAAAAAAAAAAAAAGACCTATCCCCCTATCCTTTGGCCGAAAGGCACAGGTAGTGCAGCCTAACTGTAAATCACAACACAACATGCTAACCATCCTTTTAAGGATGAAGGTAGAAAAAGATGGAGAAGAACCCGCAACCTTCAGAATGCAAGGAAAGCAGCTTAACCACTTCACCATGTAGAGCCCTGTTCTTTATCTATATTACTATAAAACATATCTTAAGTAAAGTAAAGGACCCTTTTCCATGCCTTTAGGTGTACAGGGCATATAGGGCTAGACCGATATTTTATAGACCAATCGGCACAAGATGGATGATGTGGTCAGCATCATGCCAGCCGCTTTTACTTCCCAGGACTGAACCTGGTATCCACTAAAGGCTGGGTCGACCTGGAAGTCAAGGTCATTTTTGAAAACAAATCTGGCTCTGCCAGGAAGCGAACCCATGACCTTCCGATCCGCAGAGAGCGTCTAGTCGCTCTGCCACGGCGACTCCCATAAAACATATCTTTCGTCTCTTTAACGTTTTCTGCTGTTGCAGCATATGTCAGAAAGATACAGTATTTAAAAATTTTGACATTTAACTTCATATTCACTCTGACATTGTCCAGTATGTCTCAACAAATTTTTATCTTGCCGAGTTTATAATAATGGCTACACCTCTCGAACTGTTCTCTGTTCCAAAGGGGACCATTTCATAATAATTCTGATAGAATAAAAGAATGCAGTGTAATGTTATAAGAGAAAATCAAGGACAAAACAGACCAAAGACAATCCACACACACAGAGATATTTACCCTCAGATCATTCTTAACTATAAACACAGTGACAGGAGTACTGGTAGCTAGCACTTGACCTGAATTGCCACTGATGTACTTGAAACACACCAAATTCTTGGCTGTTTATTCAAACAAAAACAATGTAATATTTAATAACAATGAATAATGCATAAAGCAAACATTTAACATTGTATTACAGATAAAAACAATGTCGACTCTTCTGCAATAAATAGAGATAAATCTAAGTAATGTTTCCCTGCCATAAATGTGAATAAAGAAGACATAAACAAAAGACTGTTACTGTAGTATGCATCCGTTGAAATACATCAAAATATGCCAGGCAATAAATTTTGCAATCTATTATCTGAGTCAAAAGAAGACACCAATATATTGGGCACATCATGAGAAGTGGACAGACAATGGCTACACAAGCACTGAAACACATGGACCGAGGAAATGAGGACATCCACGAGAATCCTAAGACTAACATGGCCGACAAAGGACAAAGCTGCTGGACTGGATTTCGTCCATGATTTTGAAAGGATTGCACAGGATCAAATGGAATGGAGGATTAGACTGTAAACCCTACATGATGTATGTCTGTATAATGGCACGACGGGATCATGATCATGATGACTTTTTTTTTCTTTGTTCCAGTTAATCTCAGCAAATTTCCAAGATTTAAATAAGATCACAATCATCAAAAACCACATCTCCACTGCTTCCCTATAACAGTTAATTAATTTATTAACTGCCCGTGATCCTCTTCCATTTATCAGGATATGACTTATAAAGCTCTTGAGAATCTTCATTCTCACCACAACTGATAATAAAAGATTTATTTTGTAAAATTCTGCCTTAGCTTGAACTATACATTAAACTTCTTTAACACGTCTTCCATCTGCACAAAGTACGCAGCTGTGCAGGTCATTGTGGGATGTACCCAAGACACCCCAGAGGTATGTATGCGATACATCCTTTGTCAACTGTTGCAGGTAGGCTCAAGGTGCTGCAGACTCAGGCAGAGGACACAGAGAGGTTTGCATCCTGGAGAACATTAGGCGAGGAGAGGAGTGGAGCAGAGTGCTAGCAAAACAGTCACACTTGTGTAGTCATAATCACATTGAGCCGGGAGTGCATGGAGTGGTCAGAAGGTGGAAACTCAGCAATTAATTCAGGATAATGCTTGTTCAGGTGATGTGATTATTTATACAGATGGTTCAGTGTCAAGAGGCAAAAGAATCTCCTGGGGGTTCTTAGCAAAAGCTAATGGTCGGCGAGCCTAGCATATCATACCACAACATCCAGCTTAAGAATGGAGGTGGTCACTGCAGCTTTCAGCAGTGATTATAATGGTGAAGAGTATTATTGTCCACATCTTTTCTCCAGGGCAGGCTGGTGAGTTGGGAAATAAAGAGGTGGATAGATTGGCTGGCTCTGCACAACTTGGTGGAGTAATGATGCATGATAAGGCAGACATGACTGAGCAAAATGATCATCATTATCTATGAGAGTGATGCAGCGAGGAGGTGACGAGAGGATCAGGCCGATATTCAACGCTCAGAGGAAAGGCAAAAAAGACACATAAACAGGCTGCTACTGGCACCACTAGCACTGGAACTCTGCGCTGCCTGCTGAAGATTGGGACGCAGCGCTTACGGAAATGCCCAGAGTGCAGTGATGAAGTTCTTGAATCAACTCAACTCAACCTATCTGCTGTTATCAGGGTTCCAGTTCCTATGCAGCTGCATTTTGCAGGGACCATTTTGTTTATAGTTACCATTACTTCTGTTTTTCTGCTGCCCAAACTAAGAACTGTTTTGTTTTCTTTACCTTTTGTTATTATTATGTTCCTTTCTTGCAGCCACATTTTATTTTCAGCAAAAAAATTGCAGATATAGATAACTTACTTCAGGTGAAAGATGGGGAAAAAAGAAAACATATGATTTCCATTAATTTTATTCACTACAATATTTCCTCGTCATATATTGAGACTGGCTAGATATATATTCGTTATTTGAGTAATTCAGTGTCACAGATCAAGCTGTGTATTCCTCGAAGTAAAGACTTTTGCCAGTTTCCTTAACTCATACTTTTCCATGCCCAGGAGGTCTTTAATGTCCTGTGTTTATAAATGTGTTGTCTGACTTCTGATTCTTCTTCCAAGAATTCACGCCATTCCATTTCTGATCATACTATACAATTTCTTCCCAGAATTATGCCATTCCATTTCTGATCATACTATACCATTTCTTCCAAGAATCGCGCCTTCCATTATTGATTATACTATGCCATTTCTTCCAAGAATCAGACCTTCAATTATTGATCATTCTATACCACTTCTTCCAAGAATTGTGCCTTCTATTACTGATCATTTTATACCACTTCTTCCACAAATCAGGCCTTCCATTGATGATCATTCTATACCAATTCTTCCAAGAATCATGCCTTCCATTACTGATCATTCTATACCACTTCTTCCAGGAATCATGCCTTTCATTACTGATCATTTTATACCACTTCTTCCACGAATCAGGCCTTCCATTACTGATCATTCTATACCACTTCTTCCAGGAATCATGCCTTTCATTACTGATCATTTTATACCACTTCTTCCGCGAATCAGGCCTTCCATTACTGATCATTCTATACCACTTCTTCCAAGATTTTTGCCAGCAGCCTGTGAAGAGTTTCTACTCGACCAGATGCCCTTGACACTCCTTATGCATAACACTTTCAGACCATGATAATCTAATTATGCCTCCTCACAGTTCACTCGCTTCCAAAGGCCCCTTACAACATCTGAGTTATCATGCACCAAGTAGTGCAGAACCAGCCAGTCTGTCTGCCTATTCATTTTCCTATTCTCTGGAACTCTAAAGCAATGTGTACCACTGTGCATGATGCACGCCTGTCTCCACCTTTCTCAGCATGCTTTGTAAGTCAGTTACTACTGTGACATGAGGTTTTTGTGATATCACACACCAGACTTTACTGAGATAGGGTTCGTCCATTCATGTTTGCTAAGAACCCTTTTGCACTTCTACCTCTCAACAGACAGCCATCAGTATAGATAATCACATCGCCTCAGTGGGAACTGTCATGAAATATCGATATTCGAAGAATTTTTCTGAAACACTGACGTTCACAAACCTCGATTTTCTTCTGCAGAGATTGTAAAAATAAATGTATACATAATGAAACTTATAACGAAAACAGTATTTATAAAGAACAGACAGAAATGGATAACATTAGGACAAATGTTGCTTTACCCTCAGTGAATAAATGCTCGACAACTTCCAAATCCCATATAATTGCACCAGTGGAACCTCCGCTTGATCCTCTGATTTTGCAATCTAAGAATTTTTTAGCATCCTCCTCACCTATTTAGAAAATGTGTAACCCAGCAATATAGGCTCTGAAAAAGCTTCAGACATTTGTTTTGCACAACAGAAGATAAATCTGATACCTTTAAATATCTCTCATGCTCTGTTTATATTTTAAAATCTTACAATTATCATCCGATCAATCAACTACTACTATCTTCATAATCAATTTTTAATATTACAGAGCTTAAAAATTTCTGTCCCAAAGCATGGCTGCAAACTTGGACAGATTGTAGCATTCCAATCTATTTATATTACTAATCCCCTTGAATCATTACATACATCTTGCTTCCTGCTTTCAACTGTTTCCTTTAGTTTGCTTTTTACAAGTAAGGTCAAGGTTGTCCCACAGCAATTATTGTCACTGTGTGTGAAGTATTAGGCCTTTACATATTCTAGGCCACAATGTACAAGATAAGATGGCCAATTCTCTTCCTCACATCTTTTCTTCACAGACAAATCCAAGAAAATCCTGAAAATTATCTGCTATCCATTCTTGTGAGTCTGGGTTCACCACAGAACCAAATTAGTTGGGAAAAATAACCCTGCATTTGCTAGGGGTTGAACTAAAACTCCAGTCTTGGTAGGCAAGTGCACTATGGCACCTAATCTTTTAATGTAATCATAATACCTGTCACACAATTGTCATTTCTCCATTATCTCTATGACATATTATTTTTTTTTTAAAGAAAATGCCATAACTGCCTCTAGTCCCACTTTTTAGGGCAATGCAAGACAAGAGGGCTCTGAGTCTGAGGAATTGGGGCCACATGGTTGGTACAGTAACCAAAAACTGTGCAGGTTAGGTTGTCTACTTCTGCCCCTAAATGAAAACACATCTATTACCTTACCAAGGGTTGGATCTAGGGCCTCCCACATGAGACTCCAGCATTCTAACCATTTGGCCAGACACTACTCTTTTACTTTCTAAACATTTAAAATTTCTGCAGGCAGCAACTGTGGTCAAGACAAATACCGAAGCTTCATAACTGTTCAGAGGTACATTAGGGATGCAGTAAAGTCATAAATAGCACACACCTAATGCAGGTTGGCAGGATGAGGTCTAACCTGGTCATGTTTCCTCGATGAGTTTATTTTATTGTCACCAGGCTTCAAACTAAGACTCAGAGGGAGTAACATGTTGTAAAGCCTGCACTCTTTACACTAGAGGTACACTTATGGAGGGTCAAAGAATATGAGTGTCTATAGCCCGTATCAGCACTACATTCACTTTTATAGTAACTCCATGAGGTTGACTCAGCCTCATAAAAAATGGATCTAGAAAACTTTCAGAACTTTTTGGATATTCTTTTCTGAGAAAGAAATGGGACCTTGTAATATCCTGACTGGAATATATGAAGACCTAATACTTCACTCCCAACAACAGTAACTGATTTGGGACCAGCTTTAACACTAAAGCTAATAATTTAATAAGCAATATCAGCCTTTGATCATCATCATGATGTGTGTGTTACAATAAGTGTTGGCTGTCATGTTTCGCCTTCTCACATGACCACAAATCAAGACAATGTTCTTATCTCATCCCATTAATATGGTTAAGCAATTCAGTTATTTATCTCTTTGCCTTCCTCTTGCTCCCATTGCATAAATCTTGTCAGTCATTGCCAAGTTTGAGAGCCCATTTCTTCTCATAACATATGTAAAAATACTCCAGCTGTCTATGTATAATTTGTCTAATCAGTTTACAACTTTCATCTGTCTCAAGAAGCCACCTTGTTTGTTTTTCTATTATTCTAAGATATTCTTTGTAATTCTCTCAAAAACCACATCTTTTGCAGCTTGTTTCCTTATTGTAAACATCTCACATGAATTAAACAACACAGGTCCCATTTGGCCCTTTAACTCTCTTTGTCTCACTGCAATTGACTTCTTACTGGTGAGTATCTGTAAATGAATATGAATGGCCAAATTATCTTTACATTCATTGCATAATTTGCTGGCGAAGTAGTGTGGACCATTAAACAGCAAAGTTCAGCACTCAACTTCATAGTGTGGGGTAGAAGACTAGATCTCTGTTTGATCTGACATGTTTCCCTGGTGAACACTGAATGCATGAATGAATGAATGAGTGAAGAACTGACATCACTGCACTCAGGACATTCCCACACATGCTCCGTCCCCTCCTTCAGTAGCCAACAAAGAGCTGAGATGATAACAGTATCAGCTGCAACCTGATTAAAGTCCACCTGTGCTTCCACCTCAGTGTTGAATATCTTCCAGAACCTCTACTGACCCCACCCCTTGCTTCTCCATTGAATTAGTCTTTCAATATATGGATACTCTGTTCTGTTGCACTGTCCATTTGATACCAGACAGCATTCACCATGTCCACTTTATTGTAATTTAGAGCACCACCCAGAGGAGCAGCAGTAGCTAACCTATCTGTTTGCCCCACTGGAAATCTTGGCACACATGTAGCACATAAAAACACTTCTTTCAAGCTTAACATAAAAGGCAAATTAAACTAACAAAACTGAAAGCAATGTTGTTTTACTTACCAGAATAAAAGAGTCCAATCCAGTCCTGGGCGCCGACGTCTTCCTTGATATCCCACTCCACACGGACTTTCGAATCAGGAGTTTTCCCGACATCCCTTAGCCAGAAAACTGTTTTATCAACAGACAGACTTGACCAACTCTGTGGGCTGATTAAGTTTAAATTGGAATCACTGTTGCTCCGTTCTTGAATTGGGCCATGCTCTTCCATATACCGGACTATAGATGCTCCACGAGGAAGTGATAAATCATCTATAGAGCTGTAGTCTATGCTGTTTCTTTGTGCTTTGGCCATTACACATCAGTCACCAAGAACGTAGCCATTATAAATCAACCTAAAATTAGGCATTTTAATATTAACAGTTGTAAATATTTCAAACTTGATTTACGGAAGAAAAAATTTCTCTATGGTGAATTTCAGGTGGTAGAAGGTGCTCAGGACTGCCTCTAATGTGATATAAGGATGTGTGCAAGCAAGACATGAATGATACAGGTACTGAAGTAGATTCATCAGAAAAGGATGCCAAGAAATGTGTTGCATGAAGGGGGGGGAATCGGGGCGCGGCTATCCTCCGAATAAGGGTCTCAAATTATCGAGGCTAAGAAAACACCCTAACAGGGCCTCAATCATATGTGAATTGCAGACTTCTTTCCGGTGAATATACCATATGAAACACTATTCCGAATAATGGTTCCGAATCATCAATGGTGTCAACAGCTCCCACACTAAGTGCTAGGTTTAATGTCTCCCCTGGGTCCTAGGTTCAACTTCTCCCTTGGGTCCTAGGTTTAATTTCTCCCCTGTTTAACTTTTCCCCTGGGTCCTAGGTTTAACTTTTCCCCTGGGTCCTAGGTTCAACTTTCCCCTTGGGTCCTAGGTTTAATTTCTCCCCTGGGTCCTAGGTTTAACTTTTCCCCTGGGTCCTAGGTTTAACTTTTCCCCAGGGTCTTAGGTTTAACATCTGCCCTAGGTCTTATGTTAAGCTTCTCCCCTGGGTCCTAGGTTTAACATATCCCTGGGGTCCTAGGTTTAACTTATCCCTGGGGTCCTATGTTTAACTTTTCCCCTACATCCTAGGTTTAACTTCTCCCCTGGGTCCTAGTTTAACTTCTCCCCTGGGTCCTAGGTTTAACTTCTCCCCTGGGTCCTAGGTTTAACTTCTCCCCTGGGTCCTAGGTTAAACTTCTCACCTGAGTCCTAGGTTTAACTTCTCCCCTGGGTCCTAGGTTTAGGCTTAGGGTAAGGGCATGGAGTACTGCAATTACGACACCGCCACCAGAATCTGTCACAACAGTGGAACTGCGACACTATCGATTGAAGGGTTATGTTACCACGGTGGCAGTAGTCAAGCGTTGTTTACTGAATATTTAGTGCAGTTTCCTGGCGGCAAAGTCACAAAAATTGAGGCCCTGTTAGGGTATTTTTAGCCTCGATAATTTTGGACTTTTATTCGGAGTTCAGCCCAGGACGCAAATAGGGATAAAGAAGAAAATGACCAGAGACAGGTTAAGAGTTGAGCATCTGAGAAGAAGCATGTAAGATACATGTGATGGCAACAATGGTCCTGATATCTTTTTGTGGAAAAATTCTTTGCAAGTGAGTGGGCCTTGTTAGTCTCACTTGCCATGGCCATGGGCTGTGACTCGCATGTCTCCCAACATCATAGTATATACGATAGTGGCTGAAGATGCTGGACTGGATCCTATCAACGATACTAAAAGAACTGCCACAGGACAGAATCAAATAAAGGATAGAGTGTGAGCCCAGTGTGATAGATAAACAGAAAGAGGATAACAAGGGGTAGATAAAGGTAGACAGAACTAAAAATAATTCAGGATTGAGCGCTTTTTTCAGCAGCAACGTTGTTTGCATAGGCTACAAAAACCAAGAACCAAACTAAGATAAAACTAATTATAGGCATTAGGTAAATCATGTTTGCAGATGCCATGCAACTATGAGCCTGTATTTGCTTTACCCATGACTATTAAAGTAAGTAAAGAACCCTTTTGATGCTTCAGGCAAAAAGTGCTAGATGCATATTTTTTCAAACAATCAGTACTAGATGGGTTATGCTAGAGACTTTTACTTCTCATGATATTTCCTGCTAATGATTTCTGGCTGGGTCAACCTGATATTTTTAATATTACTAGGCTAGTCATCAATATTCCGTACTAGGCTAGTCATCAATATTCCGTACTAGGCTAGTCATCAATATTCCGTACTAGGCTAGTCATCAATATTCCGTACTAGGCTAGTCATCAATATTCCGTACTAGGCTAGTCATCAATATTCCGTACTAGGCTAGTCATCAATATTCCGTACTAGGCTAGTCATCAATATTCCGTACTAGGCTAGTCATCAATATTCCGTACTAGGCTAGTCATCAATATTCCATACTAGGCTAGTCATCAATATTCCGTACTAGGCTAGTCATCAATATTCCGTACTAGGCTAGTCATCAATATTCCGTACTAGGCTAGTCATCAATATTCCGTACTAGGCTAGTCATCAATATTCCGGATGCTGCATCATATATATATACACACACACACATATGTATGTATACACATACACACATACTTAGAACTGACGACACTTCAATAAAGTTGTTTGTTGTGGTACAGGTAGTGTATCTTTACTTTTAATCTACAAATTGTGATCCTTTATTTTTCTTGACAATTTTTAAACCACTCAGCTTGCATGAATAAGTGTACACTAAAAGTGAAATGTGGATCAAACAAGTACTGTTAATATTATTACTTGAACTAACCGATCATCAAAAGTCATGTGTGTTGTGTTAATAAGTGTTGACTTGAAATTTAACTGACTGAGTTTTTAGTGTGTGAAATTGACAATAAAATGAAAACTAGCAAATTACTATAATAATAATTGTTATCAGATATACCATATGATAATTATATTTGGCTCTACTGGCAAATTTGGCCGGTAAGCTGGACTGCTTCGGCCGGCTTAGCGGGGCTTAGTGGGAGTTATGTCTCTTCGCGTCCCTTCGCCAAACTCAAAACAAGTCGCGGAAAAAGTCACGAATCAAATGACATACTTACCTATCATCATCCGGGTGCGTGTAGGGCTGCGTAGGGTTGCGTCTAGGGTTACCTATCATCATACGGTTGCGCGTAGGGCTGCATAGGGTGTCTATCATCATCATATGGTTGCGTGTAGGGATGCGTAGGGTGTCTATCATCATCATCATACGGTTGCGTGTAGGGTTGCGTAGGGTTTGGGTTAGCGGTAGGGTTAGGGGTGTGGGTTAGGGGTAGGGTTAAGGGTAGGTTTAGGGGTAGGGTTAAGGGGTAGGGTTAGGGTTAGGGGTAGAGTTAGGGTTAGATGATGTGAAACTATTCACGTAGGAGGTGGAAATACTGGCCGACAATCTGATGCTTGTGGGAGTGGCGCCACTGGAAGTGTGCCAAATATGACGGCAATAGCGCGCGGCTGGTGTCCAATCGGTGGCGAATTGTCCGTGTCAGTAGCATCCACCGTCCGTCGACTGTTTGCGCGTGCATGCGACTGTGTGCGATTGTAGGGAACTACGGCGTCACAATTGTCACACCTAACCCTAAACCTAACCCCTAACCTTAAACCCTAACCCCTAAACGCTAACCCTAACCCCTAACCCTACCCCTCATCTATCTTACGCAAACAAGCAGCCCTACACTCAACCGTAGGACGATGATAGACACCCTACACGCACCCGGATGATGATAGGTAAGTCTGCCGTTTGATTCGTGACTTTTTCCGCGAATTGTTTTGAGTTGTTTTGAGTTTGGCCAAGGGACATAACTCCCACTAAGCCCCGCTAAGCCGGCCAGCGCAGTCCAGCTTACCGGCCAAATTTGCCAGTAGAGCCTTATATTTAACTATTAAACATGAAAACTGCATGTAGTTAAGTGGTCGGTCAAGTGAGCAGTATTGTAGTTTATACAGTATTATAGCAGTTGGGCTGGTTCAAAGCTGATGACTGAATTATTCGATTCAGTGAATGAACAGTGCACTGAATTGATGAGTTCATGAGTGAGTAGTAGTACTTAGTAGAGTACGTTTGTTGGCGTTTATGTTTTTATTTACAGCTGACAAGTGATCGTTGCAATCTTTAGAAAGCCTAACCTACAGCCTTCTGTAGCAGCATTAATTTAAAACAAATATGATCGTAAACAGTGCAAACTGAGCTTTTACGGAAATCTTGGTTGGATATTCTAATATAAATAGTAATATTTTACTTTCTACAGATAGCTTCCTGTTTAGTCGCCATCTTAAATGATGAACATTTCCCTGCTCGTTGCGCATATTTTTCGGTTTTATTCGTTAAATGCAAACATTGCATTTTCTTTTACAGTCACAAACGTGTCGAGGTCGTTTCATCTATTTTGGTCTTCATCAGCAAACAGTAATACAAAATAACGCACAAAACTATTATATAAGAAGATACAATAATGGGAAAGGTGGATTCTAAGAGAGCACACATACAGCCTTTCACTTCAAGGACCAAATAAAAAAATATTCAAGCATGTATGCCATGAGATCCGAAACACAGCTGCCAAAAGTAAATCAGTAAAAAATAGTGTACGAATGTAGGTTTTCAAATAGGGGGATAAAAAGTAAATACTAGTTTTTAAAGGGCCAGTGCGATCTGGGTACATAGGCAGTGAAGGAGATGGTGTACGCAAGCAGAAAGTAGGCAATAAATCATCATCAATCAGCAAGTCCTTTACAGAACGTCGCTCTCTTCACGGCACGCCTGAAAGTATCCCTTTCTCTAGCCAGCTCTCCAGTCCCATGTGCTTTCAATGCCAATGCATTTTCAATGTATTGTATCCATCTTCGGGGTGGGCGACCCCTGCCTCGCCTTTTCACAAACCTCACCTTCCACCGCTGTCTTTTCCAAGCCACCATGACGCTTGATGTGGTCAAAATACTTTAACTTACGGGACAAGATGCTGTTTATGAGCCAGTTCTCCTTTATGTTCAACTCGTTCAGAATGTCGATGCTTAACCTCTTCCTGATCCATGTTATTCTAAGAATTTTTCTATAGCATTTCATTTCAAAAGCTCCAATATTTTTCCTCAGTGACTGAGTGCGAGTCCAAGACTCACAACCGTAGGTTGCCACAGGAAAAATGCATGATCTCAAGATTTTTACTTTAACCAATTTACTATGGGTTTTTTGTGTTATTTAATCTCTGCATGGCCAATGCAAGTCTTCTTCTGACTTCTTTTGAGCAGTCGCCACTGTTGTTCCCTAAAGAGTCCAAGTATCCAAAATCTGTTATATT